CCTAAATTATTGCCAAGACGAGCGAGCTTACGGCCCCTTAATCGCTACTAATCTCTTAGCGAACGATTAAGTGTGCGTGAATGTTTTCTAGAATAAATTAGATATCTCTTGATTTATTCTACAAACAATTGTAATTCTAGCGGCCGTCTAGGTTACAAAAGATATCAATTAAATCATTCAAACACAAACTAAACATCATTCATGCAATTAGTCCATTAAAAAACTAGCCATACATCATGATTAACCCCTTCATCAATCACAAATCCCTAATTAAAACTACTCACAACTTGTAATTGAAGAATCAACAGAATTGGAATGAATAGAAATAATTGTCATTAATTAAAAAGATGGAACTTACAAATAATACCAGAGTCTTGAAGAAAACAACGGGAAAACGCAGATAAATTCGTCCCTGGGCCTCTCTATAATGTTCGTAACCCTTAAACAGGAGAATGGAGGTCTTATTTATAGAAAACAGGTAAAATTTGACTGAAACTAAGAAAAACGGGATCAGGCACGGCGTGCTTGCGGAGCACATCCGTTTTTCGCGTCCAGGCACGACATGTCTCCCTGTTTCGCACGACCGTGCCTAGCTTTACAGGGATTATGTGCGGTTTCCTTCTACATGCACGACCGTGCCTAAGGCCAGGCACGACGTGGCTGATCTTCCAGCAATCCGGAACATCTTTATACTGCAGGCACGAGGTGCCTAAGGCCAGGCACGGTCGTGCCTCCCCTTTTCTTCACCATAATTCTTCGTTTCTTGCTCCAAATGCTCCCGGATGCTTCCTTGATCAATCCAAAGGCCTTTTCTTCATCAAATCTTCGCCGTGAACCTCCCGGTGGCCTCCAGATCTCACAAATCTTTCTCGAACGCTATCCGACTCTTCTTGATTGCTTCTCAAGACATCTTGAGCTAAAATTGAGACTTGTAACACCTTAATTAATGCTATGAGAATTATCAAAAGCCGATCCCTTAGGGTACTCACTATCACAGTCTAATAATATTAATATTTTGAGCACCCCTATAAACAGTTATGTATTACCATATTGGCCCACCTTTATGCCATCATCATCATCATCATTACCTCAGTGCTGCAAAGGCTCCCACCTACTGTGGGGTAAGGGGGTCGGATGTATGCGGCCTTACACATGGACTGTTTCCTACTAAAGTACACAAACTGTTTCCGGATGACCCATAGTGAAAATTGCATCGAAAATTGCATGGACTAACTGCTGATTCATAACAAAAAGCGCAGATAGTTTAGTGAGCCATTTTGTGTTATTCCATCACATTCCCAAGCCAAAAAATAATGAGTCTTTGGCTCAATTGCAAATACTTTAGTTGATAATATATCATTTAATTTCCTAACCAAACAACTCCCCAAATGAGAGAGGTCAAGCTAAAAATTCTATCACTTGATTCTACATGATATTTCGTAGCACTATTTGGTGTTTAATAGCACTTGGGCTATTAACTAGATAAAAGTTACACTCTCATGTTATAGAACTAAAAACGTGAATACCAAACTACATTTTAGGATTATGAAGTTCCAAAACATTTTTGCCTTCCACATTTTCATTATATTTTATCTCTTCTCTCTAGATATAAATAGGTTTTTAGGATTATATGTTTTTGGATTTAAATTAAGAGATGAACAATGAGTGAGTTCATTATCAAAATTGTGGGTGATTTTGTAGTACTTTTGCTTACGATTGGTAATTCGAAAAGTATTCGATTTGAGGGAGTAATGATATTTTGTATTTAACTCTAGCATGTATTTAAAATTTGGATACTAATATTTACATTAGAATTTATGGATTGTATATTATTTTTTAAAACACAACTTTTTCTGTAAAACTAGAAATAACAAAAATTCTTGAATAATAGCAAGTATTGCTTTTGAACATGTTTACTTATTGTCATTGTGTATTACAAGAATTAAATTTGAACACAATTGGGTGATAATTGATCATTTGTCTAACATTTAAGCCTTCAGTGTATCGCCCTATAGGCTATAGTTACACTTCTAAGCCATTTAGACTCATGTTTGCAACGTTTCTTCTTATTTCTAACTTTATCTCACATTTGCTCTATCTGTGTATGCCATTATTCGAATGTGTACTAAATTTAAGACACACTACTGGAATTCTACAATTGAGAACTCATCATTTCCAACTTTAGTTCAACACTTGATTGTCACGTTTTAATTTTGAATCATTGTCGCCCTCAAATTTTTATGCTTCTTTTGTGTATGTCATTGCTTAGTTGTGTATGACTTATACTGCATTAGTGAAGTTCTTTGATGAGAAGAAAATTATGTTAAGATGTTACAACATCTATTTGTAGGTGTTGTTAGTGGTTGTGGGTGACACGATATTGATATGTAGCATGTTCGTCTAAGGAGAGATTTTTTTTTTGAGGAATAAGGAGATAATTGTATTGTTTGGGGTAATGACAATAATCTGCCTACCAGAGGAGATAAGAAGAGAGGTAAACGGATTAAGGTGTGAACTATTATTACTTTTAGTCTCTTTATCTATCAAGTTATTTTAAGAGATAATGTTACCCTTTATTTTAAATTAAACCTTACTAAAATTTAACTAAAGAGTAAGTTCTTGAGAAGTTTGGTAATGTCTTAGGCTTGTTCAGCTTGGGGATATTAGACTAAAGGGGAGAGCACACTAGGTTTTTATTTTACTACTTAGTTTTTTTTGGTTAGTTTTTGACTGGAAATGATTATTTGATTTCTTAGACCATAAGTTACTCTATCAAAGGTAAAAATAGATATAAAAAATAGTAATCATCTATTCATCTTCCCTCCTCCTAATTAATTAATTAATTCTCTTAATAGTAATCCACTAAAATTAGTTTTTTATGGCACTCATAAATAAGAGATCATTTTTATAAAGGGTGAGATTAAATCTTCCTAGACCTTAATCTCATTTCGAATATATCACCATGAACCCTTCCTCCTTATATGAGGTTTCATTGTGAGACTTAGAAAAGTGTATTCCACACATACAAGGGCAATTATTCAATCTCGTCACATGGGTATAAAAAACTAGTATAAATCTCTATCCTCGCAATCTTATAAGAGGGGTATAAGGATATTGTTAGGAATTAGGAGTATAATATTTAAAAAATGGGATAATTTGAGTTTGCACCACATTTTATTGTGAAAATTGGACTTTGCACCACTTTTTTAAAAAACTTTGATTTTGCACCAATCCCATATGAAAATTGTTTTTCATCAGGAATATGTTGAAGACCAACAAAATTGTTAATGGAGGGGCATTCTTGCCTTTTCATATAGGGTTGGGGTGCAAAAATAAAGTTTTTTAAAAACGGAGAACAAAGTCCAATTTGTACAATAAATTGAGGTGCAAACTCAAATTATCTTAAACAAATGTTGGTATCTCTTAATGCATCTAAGTCATTATGGATTATGTTTACTTTTGTTGTACATCTAACTCAAGTTAACTTCCTGTCTTTAACAGAAATGTGAACGGTGACAGCCTATGTTGCACAGATACTTCACCTCGATGCCGTATCCGCGTATCCGATATGTATCCGTATCTGATACTCACAGATACACGTCCTATACGTATGGGATCCGTATTCGTAATTTAATAAAAGTATCGGGCTTAATTTTAAAAATACCGATACTTCCGATACCCTTATCCGTGAACCGATATGCGTATCTGACCCTATAACCCCTCATTTAGTAGCCGCCTAAGCAACCACAACATGTGAAACATCGATAAAGATGGTTTCGGTATTATGAAAAATAATGAAATACTATAATTTGTCATTCCATTGCTTGATGAGCTTTAATTGAAATAAGACTTAGATGTAGATGCAAATAGAGAACAAAAAAATGTTATTTGAATTTAAATCAAAGTATCAGTACTGAGGAGCGGCGGAGGGAAACCCTAGCCGCCGCCTCCTCTTTCTTCCTTCTTTTCTTCTCTTCTTCTGACTTCAATCATAGAAAAAGTTTCGTTTAATCAGTATTTTCAGTTCTATCTATACATTTATTTCCTAGCGTGGTCTAGAAATATTATTTTCGGTGGCGAAGTGTCGCTCGCCGGATCTATATTCCCCGCAATCATCGGTCGAGTGTTCTTGTGTGTTAGTAAGAGGTTTGTATTGGCTTCTTTATCAAACATGAATCAGGATTTCTTCTGCATCGATATAGAGGCCGATCACCCCCCTCCTGAACCACCGCTAATCTAGGAAGATGACATTGGATGGATTGCTTTCTTTCCGGTGGCTGGTCAAACTGGAACAATTTATGCACTTGGCTCCTTACTGGTGGCTGGAAAAACCGGCAAGTTCAATAATTCCTTTTCGGTGGCTGGTCAAGTTGAACCCATTTCGAGTAGCATGAGCAGACACACTGCGGTACGAGTCTACATTGTTGCAGGGTTAGCGAACATGGATGCTTTTATATGTTGTTTTTGTTCTTTGTCTCGCCCTAGTGTATTATTGAACACTATGATTGTAATGCTTCGGCTTTTAGTTGTTATGTTTCTTGTTAAGATCTGATTATCAATAAAATGGTTATTTGATTTAAAAAATCAAAGTATCAGTACTTTATTTTTTTTAGACTAATCTTTGAAATTTTATTAAAATAGTTAATTTTTTGTATCATTATTATTTTATTTATGAACCCCTGAATTATATACATTTTCAAATTATATCCTATATTTTTATTACTCCCTCCGTCCCTAAATAAACTTCCAACTTTCCTTTTTCGTCCGTCCCAATTAAAACTTCCACTTTCCCTTTTTGGCCAGAATTTGTGGTTCACAACAATTCTTACAGATTTCTCTCTCCTCTGTACAATTCTCCACCACACAATACCCACTATCTTAAACTCTGTGCCAAACCTATTTCGAAGTTTAATAAGGGACGGAGGTAGTATTTATAAATATACACGGTACCCGTATTCTATGATTTTGAAATTGTCTTATGGCCATACCAGTATACGCTTATTTTTTGTCCATCCCTATCCCTTCATGACAGCTTCCTTCTTACCTTCCCGTTTATCAATTCAGGCCTTTTTTTCTAAATCCACTTTTCTCCTTCAGTATTTTTATTCGACTCTGAAGAAGACGGAGAGTAGAATTTTAGGACGCGCCTGTTGGAGATCACACTCTGGTGCTGATTCTTTAATTGTCGTGCGGTCGGAAGTCAAAGAGGGGAAAGGGGATATACGAAACGGCTTCAGACACTCTGATCCATACTAGGATTTCTTGCCTTCTTGGAGGAAGATAAACACGCTATGGCTCCACCGCTCCAGGGCGTAAACGTGGAGCAAAAGGAGTGAAGACGACCAGTGAGTTGAGTATCGGTGATCTTGTCCTGACCAAGTTTAAGGGTTTCCCTGCCTGGCCTGCAAAGGTATGCGTCTGCTGCCATTCACGTGTGACATGTGGGAAAATTTTGGAATACAACATGGCCATGCGTTTAGGTTTTGTTAAATTGTCTGTTATCTTCTTAATCCTAGAAGAAAGTTTACGCCCTGTTTATATGTTTTACTATAATTGTTAGCTACTTAGCATTGGGTATAATAGTTTGATATGAGGACCCATTGCTGGACTTCTAGCTTCAGTTATCCTTGCTCCTGTTTCTTGTATAATGGGTCAGATAGATAAACCTGAAGCGGTTTTATATGTGTGATTGCCTCCCAGTTAGCCAACTTAATTGAAGTCTGGTAGGTGCCGCATTACGTTGGAAAGAAGGTTTCGATGGCTAAACAATGATGCAGTGAATATAATCAACATAATAATGGGCAGCATTTTTGCAATCTTATTGCAACAAATGTTGCTCCAAAGAAGCAGTGATTAGACAGTGTACACAAACACTTTGGTTCTTCTAAGAAGAAATGTTTGAGGGTTCTTTTATCTCTCTCTTGTGGGAAAAAACCGACCTTTTTTGCGTATTTGGTAAGAAAAATCACACTATCTGATTACATACAGGACATGTCTTCTTAATGGGGAATCATTTCTAATTCAAGAAGGAATTAGAGATAGCCAATAACAAATACTACGTAGCTTTATACTTGTAACTAATGCAAGCTTTGTTAAAATAATTAAAACTCAACAGTGCACTTCTCTTTCATTTAAATTTACAGCAGTGTATGAACAAAAAGATCTCTGCTATAGTTTTGTCTTAGCGTGGACAACATTGTGGGGGGGAAAAGTTTGATATGCGGACCTTTTCCATCTAAGTTGGAAATATTGGAGCCTTGCAGGATAAGTTTATCTTAAGTACTTAAGTAATTGTGAAAAATCCATGCGTGTGATTATTACTCTTTTTTAAGTAAGGGGTGCTTGGATCTAATTCTAAAAGGATTAGATCTAATTGGAAGAGAAATCAGATATTGGACTGTTGTTGAAACTTCAGAGACACACTCCTAACTGCTCTTCAGAATTATTTTTGAGAAGCTAGGGAGACCAATTTCTCATAAATTGATTCTGCTTCTTGAATATTAGCCAAATAACCTTTTGTAAATAGAAATGCAAGTATTAATAAAAATGCACATAAGTAAACATATTAGCATAATACAAATATAAATGTAAAACTAAAAGATATAGATGAATTATATATATATATATATATATATATATATATATATATATATATATATATATATATATATATATATATATAGATTTTGGTTCAGGTGAGAAATGCATCTAATGTGAGAAATGAGAATGAATCTCAGTCATTGGATTTACGAAGTTGCACTAAAATTGGCTTTATGTTGCAGTAATAATTAAATTTTGCACATGTTGCACTAAAACTGTTTTATGTTGCACTAATATTTGATGGCGTTGCACCGAAATAACTTCATGTTGCACTAGACATGTGTAATACGGATTTTTCAGAAGTATTTACAGAAATGCCACCGTGCTAGATTGCATATTTCAGTGCATCATGAAATGTCTTTTACTGCAACTTAGTCGAATCCAATGGTTGAGATTCATTCTCATTTCTCACCCAAAGGGTTCTTCTCACTTGAACCTTACCCTATATATATATAAACGTAAGTATAATTGTGTAAATGTAAATAACTAAATACTTCGTATAAACTAGTGATATAAATAGGGTATCAGATTGCTTGTAGCACAGTGGTTGGCTCATTTTTGTTTTTGATAAGACTATGTTTAATGTACTGGAAGTAAACAAAACCTGCTATGACTCTTGCGATTCTGACCATTTCATTTACAACTTCACACGTGGTGGAGGAGATGTTGTTGAACTTAACCAGACCAAGACTTGCTATTTCATTATCCATAGTTGGCAGTGCATAAGTGTATCAATGAAAGTAACAATTCACATTGAAAAATGACCGCCTTCTCAGACACCTTCCCAAAAAGAGCAGTTCTCCTACTTTGCTCTCCACATTCAGAGGTAAAATTCTTCTACCAGCTTTGTTCACCATTTCTGCTGCGTGGGATTCCTTCCTGTTGCTGGTATTGGTAGGAGTATTGTTCAGATTATACGACTTTGCTGAATTGGTTAAGTTAACTTGGACCAATCCAATTGTGAAGAAGATATCTATGTAGGTTGATGCGTGCATTTATGTACCGGTGTGGTGGGAAGCAGCTCTGCAGCTATGGGACTGAGGAGTGAGCTATCCGGTGTGATACTCTGGTGGCACTAAGCGTTTTTTCATTTAACATGGGGCAGTGAATTACTATTGCTTTATTCCCGTACTTTTAACATTATTTTGTTATTCTTAAATGCTCATCATTTGTTATAAGCAAACAATCCGTTAGTTTTTTATTCTTTTTCGTTTCTTCCTTAAAACAAGAAACATGTTAATGGTGGTAAGTATTATCCCATGAAAAATATATTTTTTAAAAATATTCTCATCAAAGCAAAAATTGAAAACAATCTCATGATGCAGGTAACTTTTTGCAGACTTGTGTCTTTTTGTCACTATTTTTTCACTAATATTTTCCTATATTGAATTTCAACGTCAGACATATAAAGTTGTATTCCACATACATTATTTGGCATTTGTCTCATCGCGCAATGCGCGTGTAAAAACTAATAAAATAAAATAAATGTGGACGAAGGCGACGAGCTTACAAACAAGGAAGAGTCCATAGTCGATCGATGTTTCTCCACCACCGATCGGCCACCTTTAGTAGTTCTGGTACCTTCAATCTTACATAGCTTACCGGCTCTATCCATCCTCAGTCATCTACTCATCTTGCTCCCACCCTATCTAGGTGAAAATGCATGTTGTGGACTCATGGCATGCATTTTCCATTAATTTTTTGTTTTACACTTAGAGTTCGATTTTCTTTATAGTATTCTTTTTAGTTTTTAGTTGCTTTATATTTTAGATAGAGCATGAACTTTTTGCAGTAAAAATTTCAGTTTGTAATGTCTATAATTTGTTTGAAATAATTCCTCAATGAGATTTTCTATTTTCAATGAGTATGTATATAGTTTGTTCGCAAAAATGTCTCAATGGGGTTTTCTATTTTAAACCATTTTATGAAATCTCATCTCTCTAAGTCTCTATGATAAGTGAAGTTTGATTATACTGTGTGTAAAATGTGTAGGAGTTCTTGACGCTCTGATTAAATGTCTTTCATTATATGGTGCAAAGTTTTATACCTACAGTTGTTTTAACCATGTCATCTGACGAATACAGATGAAGTTCCCCTTTAAATGCATTGGACAATTACAATCTAGAATGGTTTTAGATTTTTTTGCTTTGCCTGCATGCTTAATTTGGAGACTAGTAGACCTACAGTTAGAACTTCGGAAAAAGAATTCTAAGGTTTTTGAGCAGCCAGTTTGGTGCAATTCTTTCGTTGTTATATACGTTGATACGTAGATTGTTTATATCGATGAAAGAAAATATAACAGTTGAAGAAATTAGAAAGTTTGCGGAATGGAGTTCAAATATCTGGGTTAGAGTGGTTTGGCCATGTGTGTAGAGGATTGAGTGATGTACCCTTAGATGAATTCAGAGGTGGGGAGAGGAGAAAGGGAGGAAAGGGAAGGAACAAACAGAAATGGATTAGGTTGTCAAAGTTGAGACCGCTGGAGTACTCATATTGTGGTGTAGCCTGAGGCGCAAGGCACAAAAAATCACACTATTTAGAAAATATTGTGTATACTATTCTAGTGCAATCAAATATGACATATTCAATATCATATTGAACTAAATGCATTAAAAAGTCATGTTTTTAATTATAAAGCATGCATAGATGTCTGGAAGTGATAAAAGTAAAGAAAGAAGATAGGCTGAAAGAATAAAATAAAAGGATAACAAGAAGATGAAAATAAATAAATTAACACAACATGTTGATAAAGAAAGAAGAAAGAACATGGGAAGATGAAGAAGGTAACTGATGGGTTTGTGGCTTCTGTGTGTTGACAATTGAGTGCGGTGTGGTGTCAGCGCTGAGTAGGTCATAGAAGAGTAACGATGAAGTATTGAAGTCACAATAGAAGACTTTAATGCGCAAGGGTTTGGCATGGGTTTTAGGATGTTTTATGTGGACTGATTTTTTTTTTTTGTTTTGGTCTATTTAAATCTGATCTGGTTTGAATCGGTTTGGTAGATGTCTGATATATGTATATTTTACAATTGGCGAAGCTAGGTCTGGTCAGTTTAAGTCTGGTCTGTTCTAGGACTGATATAAGTCCAAGTAAAAACATAAGTTGTTTTGACCTATTATTTGGACGGAATAGATCTTATGTTAAATATGGGCTTATTGTTTAAAGTAATACTACCTCCTTCCCATAATGTAAGATGCATTTGAGTTTGGTTTGGGTTTTAAGAAAGTAAAGTATAAAACTATTGTTTTACAATTCTAACCTCCAAAAAGTAAAAAAGAGAAAAATAACGGGATAAAGTGGGAAAGTAAAAAGTTAGTGGAGTCTAATTTAAGAAAGTGTTCATATTTTTGGAACAACCCAAAAAGGAAAGTCTATCTTACAAAATGAGACGGAGGGGTATCAAATAGAAAAAAAGGCTGATACGCCTTTCCCAGCCCAAGCAACTTAAGCATGCACTTTTCATCGCTTCAATGCTTTTGTGCTTATTGCGCCTCACTCAGGTTGCTGCACCAGGGACCCTGATAGGCGGTTATCATCATATGTGGCTTGCTTGGTGCGCTTAAGCGTCCTGGTGCTCATTATTGCTCACTATTGACCACACTGGATGAGAGTATGTCTATGGAGGGGGCAGAGTGGGGGGAGAGTATATGTGGTGGATTGATCTGATTTAGTTTCTCTCCATTTTTCTCTATTTATTGTTTTTAACTCAGATATCATATGTCGATTCGTGTTAGTCGACCTCAAATGCTTTTGGGAATAAGTCATAGATGTTGTTGCTGTTGTTGGGAGTTAGAGTGTTCATGATTGTTGGGATATGTTGCTACTTCATTATTAGGATTATTATGATAGAGAGCAAGGAGAGGAGAGGGCTTTACGGAAGAGGAGGGTCTGAGATCCAGGCCTCTGTCGATTTACTGCAGGAGGGAACGGGCTGGCTGTGGGCTGGAGTTTTAGTTTTATTTATTATATATTATATTATATTTTTAGTTTGGACCCATTATTAGTAGAGTATTTATTCGAGTTAATTTGGGCCTAATTAGGGTTTATTTAATTTGGGCTCGACTAGGGTTTCTGTTTGGCTCTCTTACTAGAAGGGTATTTATACCCCTTGTTAGGGTTCATTGACTTCATTCTTGCTCATCTATTAATAAAATTGGATTTTCAGCCTTTTGGCTCTGGGCAACGGTTCCTAACGTAGATCATTCCGGGCAACGGTTTATTCCGTTGATTTTTATTTTCTGTTCTCAACATATTATTATTGTGTTCATATTTAGGAATTATATAAGACTAATATATTACTGGAATTTTTGTTGATTTAATTGATTAAAGTCTCACACTCTCACATCTAGTGAATTTACTTGTTATGTTTCTTGGTTCAAACATTAGTGAGTCTTAATATACAGTTTTCTTCAATTACGTTTTAAGCAGATTAGGTTATCAACACCTTACTAGGTTGGAAAAACAGCTGAAGTAGCTCTAATCGGTCAGGAGATGGATGCAAAGGATATTTTAGGATTGCCAAAGAATACAGTGTCCATACCCTCAGAAAAGAAGTCCAGACCTCAGAAAGAGTCTCAACGCAAACCTGATGGCATTTCGCGAGAAGTAATTATTTTCTTTCTCTTTTCCTGTAGCTAAGGACTTGCATAGTTTTTGTTATCTTTTGTATTTGATTTTCTTAAAGTTGTTGGTTTTGGCTTTGCAATATTCTAGGTTTACGCCCTTACAGGAGGTCTAGCGCCTCTTATGCCTGCTATTGACATAAATCATTTGAAACGACGAACACAGACAGAGAATGAAAAGGTAATGGTAATCTGAATCTTTTTTATGTGATTTTCTTGAGAAATCATAAAAGTGTGAGATACTGACCTGTCTTTATTCAGATTACTTGGCAATGGCTACCTTTTACTAATTCTGCCCGAAATGACAACTTGGAACTGTACCACTGGGTATGTCCAGCTCATCATTGTAAAAGTCTAGGTTCAGACTAGCAAAGTCTGTGTACCTAAAAGCTCTTTTCTACCTCTTTTGTTTTAAGGTGAGGGTTGTAAATGGTGTTTTGCCTAAAGATGACTATTCATTTGCCAAGTATAACAAGGTATGGGGAAGAATCTTTATATTGCCTCATGGAGTTGAGTTGAGTTGAAGTCCTTATTCACATGCATTTATTTATGCAAAAAAATCATGAACCTATTCTGTTGTTTTCCATGATTCATTGCAGTCTGTGGATGTTATTCAATACACAGGAGAGGAGTATGAGAAGTATTTGACAGATCCTGTATGTATTTCAACTCCCAACTCTCAAGTATATTAAATATTGGGAAAAGTAGCAAATAAGCCCTCAAACTAACCAAAAAAGTGCAAACACCCCTTATATAGGAGGTTCTGTTCGGCCGTCGCCATTTTGGGCGGTTCCACCGGGATCCTTCCCAAATGACGACAGCCGGACAGAGCCTCCTATATAAGGGGTGATTTGCACTTTTTTGGTTAGTTCGAGGGCTTATTTGCCCCTTTTCTCTTAAATATTAAATACGGAGTATTATACTACAATATTGGTAGATGACTACAGTGTCGCTCCCCTTAAAGTGAAAGTGATGCTTGGTAGACATTAAAACAAACACAATAGGGATACATTACTGTGGTATAAGCTCATTGGGTGATGATAACATATTAACATGTCTAACTTTTCATCCTAATGAATGTGTGCCTCATCGGAATTTCTCCCTACAATATCCAACTTTAATGGCATCCACACTAGAAATTCAAAAGTCATGAAACTTTGTGAGATAGCAATGCAGTATTAATAATTTAATATGATATACTACGTATTTTCTCTTTGCTGCATTCACTGTATCATATGTAACTGAACAGCCCAAAGTGTACTGGTTCTTTAACTTACATATTTCTATTATCAGATGTGGACGAAGGAAGAGACAGACCAATTGTTTGAGCTGTGTAAAAGGTTTGATCTGCGTTTTGTTGTGATAGCCGATAGGTTCCCATCATCACGTACAGTTGAAGAGCTTAAGGATCGTTATTATACTGGTATAGTGTTCATTTTCTTCTACTTCCGATGAATCTTCTTAATGACTGTTTACTGCTTATATCTATGATCTTTAATGTGCTTGCAGTGTCTAGTTTTTTGTTGTTATTTTTAAGTTGTACAAATTATGATTTCCCTGGCTTCATTGTGCTCAGTATCAAGGGTTGTCTTGAACTCAAGGTCTGCATCTTCTGTTGATGTTGTTGGGCATCCCATTCTTAAGGTTTGCTGACAGTATCCCATCTTACTGTGTGTTTGCATAATAAGGATACATATAAGTGCACACACACGTGTGTTTGCATGTTTACATTTGTTTATGTTTCAATCTGATGTCTAGCGTACTGTGTTTTTTAACTGTGCTCTGAGAATTCTCACAATGCTGCAGGAATCTGAGCCTTACAATATGACTCAAGAGATTGAAAGGAAACGTGCATTGTCTATGGTGCTTTCGCATACAAAGCATCAAGAACGCAGGGATGCAGAGGTTTTTTTAGTTTCATTTTTATCTTATGTTTGAGCCAAGACAAACTGAAGATTACATTGATGTAGCTCTCAATAAACTTGTACGTCTCATTTCACTCATCTCTCTATTCTATCTGTTTATTTCATTTAAAATATTCAAGGTCCTTGCCGAAGCAAAGAAAATAATGGAATCACGTAAGGCTTCCAAGGTAATTTCTACCACTCTGCCCTTGATGTCTTGAAAAAAGAAAGTAGTTTTTATAAACAGTTTTCCACTTGAAGACTTTTGTATCATCCGATCTGTAGGTTGCTGAAGAGTCAGAGCTACCCCTCATGTCAGATTTTGGACCAGAAGGTCTGGATATGGCCGCTACTGTTAATCCTGCTTCAACTTCACCCAATGCTCAGTTCCCTTTGGGCACAAGTGCTACTCCCATATCAGAAACTGCTTCAACTTTAGCTTCTCTTCGCATGGTGTGCTCAAGTAAAAGAACACAATAATAAATTACTACCTCCATCCCGAATAAATTGTCTTGTTTGGCACACTTATCAATGAAGTGGTTGACAAAGTAAAAGATGTGGTTGAGATTTGATTGATAAAGATTGAATCATTGAAATGATATGGACCACATATATCTTGTCAAGAAAGGAAACAAGACGATAATTTTGGGACAACCCAAAAAGGAAATCATGACATATTTTGGGACGGAGGGAGTAATGAAAATGCTATCATATTGGTTGAATGGTGTATAATTGTGTATTGTATTGATCATGATGGTTAAATTATATCAGTTGGGGGTGTACTTGCGTACCTATGCACTTGAGCAAATGGTGCAAGCAGCAAGCTCGTCAGCGGGACTTCGGACTATAAAGCGTGTTGAGCAAACTTTACAAGACCTAGGGGTTTGTGCAACTCCATTTCTTTCTGTTGATACTTTTTTGTTTGTATTCTCTCCACTTTTTTGTTTGGCATAGTATACGATTTTAGTGGAACCATAGCAGGAGTTTGGAGGTTGAAGTCATTTCCTTCATGAGTTGACTTTTGCATAATGTTGATTATTTCTTGTAAAAGTGAAACATAATTCCTCACTCCCGAGCACATTTTTATAGCTTTGTTGTCAAAGAATTGAAAGAGTTAAGTTTAATAGATTGAATTTACAGGTGAATTTGAAGCCTAAAGTTCCAACTAAACTAGTATGTGCGGAGCATCTTGAACTTAGAAAAGAAATATTGACCCTATTGAATCTTCAAAAACAGGTATGCTGGAGTAGTGGCTAATGTCATCTCTAACGTATAAAATTTATGTAAAACAAAAATATAATTGGGAGCCCAAAAGAAAGATAATTTGAACTGAGTTTGTGGATCAGTTGCAATATAAGGAGTCTGAAGGTTCTTCCTATCGTGATGGTTCATATTCTGAAACACCCGGTACACCAACTAAGGTTAGAAAAATGTTTCTAGTTTCATCTTTCCCATATTTTCATGCTTAAAGAATCATTAAGTGTACACATCTCTTATTCCATCATCTATTGACAGCGAGCACAACGCAGTGCTGATCAGGACAGGACATTCGGCCCTGACTTAAGTTTTGGAGGTAATTTGACCTTTTTCATTTTCTCTATATTGAGATGATTTGTTTTGTAAGAGGTAAGTGCTTTTTATGTAATACAAGGTAAGTGCTTTTTATGTAATACAAGTATCTTTACTGCGAAAGGAAGCTTTGAATAAAAAAACATGCATATGAGGAGCAAACTGATTTGCCAATAAAAGAGAGGAGCAAACTGAAGATTAGTTTGGAATCTGAGCAAGGCAAGGGTCCAAGAAGGTTCCCACCACAAAGGTGTATGAGGAGCAAGCCTACCATGTCATTTTGACAAAAGGCTGCTCCCAAGACTTGAACCTGTGACCTTTAAGTCACCGTAACCGGTGCACCAAGCTTCCCTACAAGAGAAAGTGTTTCCCTTCTGAAAATCCCACTATATTTGCTAAAGGAGAATCACTTCAATGATCTAATAAAAGCACTTATTATAACATGAGTATTCCCTACTGTTTTTATTTTGGTTCAAATTAAAGATTATGAGTTGCAACTACTTTGGTTGTTTACTTTTTTGTTAGGTGAAAGAGTTGGTAAAAGGGATCAAAAGCGCAAGGTACACACCTTATTATGTATTATTATAGCTATGACCACTAGTACTAGTATTTTTCAAGCTTATATAATTTATGAGTTTAATGTAACAAGCTATCAATTCATGTTAGCCGACCCCAAAATCTTTTGGGACTAAGGCTTGGATGTTGTTGTAATGTAACAATACAGTAGTATTAATTGGAACAATTCAAATGAATAATCTCACATTCACATTTAATGATGCTCTTTCCATATACCAAATATGTGTAGTTCTATTATAGTAACTAGATTCTCACCCGTGTGATGCATGTCACAAAATTACGTAAAAAATAAAATCATATTATTTGTTAATCATGTTAGTCAATGATTATTTTTACAACTAGAATATATAAATTTATTAAATGAGAATTATATGTAATAAAAAAATAGTATATAAAGTCAAAGCTAGTGCGTACAATGTCTTGGAAGAAAGTGATTTATATATTCCATGAGGTTTTTTATGAAGATTTTTGTTTGAATTTATGATTTTTTAAGAAAGTTGAAATTTTAGTTTTGATTTGTCCATTGTTCCTTGCAAAAAGTAGATTATGCATAGTGGGAGAGAAGAAAAAAGTTGTTGTAAGGCAGGTAAATGAAGTAAGGACATAAAGTATATAATATTTGATATACATTAGATATTCACATATAAATATATATTTGATAAATTATAGACATTAATACAGTATGATAGATGCATTCGTACATATAATCTAGTATGTATTTATTCGCATTCGCATTCGCATTCGTACAGTTATTTCTAAAGGTACAGTGACTGAACTTTGTCAAGAGTTTTGATAATAAGACTATTCTTGAAGTTAAGAATCGTTTTCTTTAGGTCCACTATTAAGTATTGGAAAATCATAGTTCTTTCCATAGCTATTAATACAGGGCCATTATAAAATTTGTTCAACATAGTCTCAATATCCTTTTTTGGCTCAAATCATTCCAATTTTTGAATTTTGTTTTTTTTAGAGTTTTTAGTAGTTACACTGTCCTCTGTGATGGTGATGAACCAGAGAAAATTTACTCTGCGGGAAAATCACCAATTTTCCATGGGCTTTTGTATATAGTAAGATATGAACTTCATGGTTAACCTTCTCAAAATGAAGTAACTTGGTAAACCGGTATGAAGGAGTCAGAATAACAAATTTTGATAAGTAACATATGAAACTCTTACATTCTTCATCATCCTCCCAAAGTCAAGTCAAAATCTTCAGATAGCTCGTATTGAATTTTTCATTGCAATATAGCCGCCATCAATACACTAGGCACACTGGCACAGCTGCATCAACTACTCCACTAGCAACAATTAGGAGGTGAGTGAGAGGCTGAAGTAGTAGATGAGTGGGAGGCCTTGTTAGTTCCAAAAGTTTGGGTCCGAAGTACAAATTGAAGGAGAGGACTTCTGGCATAGCACTGAAATTTTTTTAGGAAAGAGAGCGAAAAAGAAATGAAACGTAACAGAAGGGATAAAACAGAGGACATTTACGACATGCTACGTCGCTCCGCAAACTGCTTAATTGGTATCTGCAGGTTACTAGTTCATCTTGGGAAGATACCCTATGATTGAGATTACATTGTCTGAGATTCTGTAATTAACTTGGGAAGAATATCAATGTGTTGGATTAATTATTGTATTGTACGAATTTTCGATATTTGTGATAGATAATTTCATATGGGGAAAATAATTCAAATCCCCTAAATTTTAGAGAGGTTGTAGCTAAATACCCTAAAATTGCATATATATATATATTATAAAAATATCATTAAGTTTATATAAAAAATTATCTTAGAACCATGGCCTTAATTTTTTTACATGTAAATTTATGGTGTTAAAACTGTTATGTGCACAACATATATATTCTCAACATATAAGAAGGTGCACTTAAGATTCTAACCTTCCATTTTCATTTAAGCAATTTGAGTTCATGGTGATGAAATCACCTATAGCGTAAAGTTTATGATGTTTATGTTAGACATAGTAAGTTTGGGATATTCTGTTCACACTTCTCCAAGTTTGGCGTATTTGGATTGTTTTTCTGTTTTCATTTATACATTTTCCTCTATAAGTCGTGTTGTTCTATGGAGATGTCTTAGAATTGCATATTAATCTGACAATTGGGCTGGTTTTAAGGCACCCGGAACACCCAAATTTGAAGGCTCCCCTGCAACGTCAAAACGTCCGAGGAAGCTGAAAACCTCAGATGGATAGCCTGTTGGTAGGTGGCTAGTACTCAAGTTCTATATTTCAAACTGGTATATATGTTTGCAGTGCTCTAACTGTAGGAGTTTTCCCAATGTGATGTGGTATTTTGGGTTTATTTCTACAGAGCAGAGCAGAAACACTACCTTTCTGTGAATGCTTTCTTCTTCTTCAGGCATGATGTGGCCAAGCTGCTTGAAGTGGTACGTTCAGCCACACTGGTGAAGGCGCCAACTGACCAGTATGAAGTAGCTCCAACTGACTGGCATAGTGCTATTATTATTAAATTTTAACACGTGAGTTCCAGCCAGTATTAATCTGTAAATTCCAGGTTTCTCACTGTAATTATCCGCCGGCAAACCTGAAAATGCTACCAAATATTGAGTTGGATTTACCACCACCAAGCCTAGTTCTTCTTCTTCTTCTACTTCTTCAGGTTTTCTTATAAAACTGGCCAAAATATAAATTAGATTGTTTTTTAGATGAGAGTTTCACAAATTGAAACAAATTGTTTGACTTTGTAGCTTGATTGTCATTAATTTTACTTGTAGCAATTTTTAATTTACTATCTATTACGATAGTATTACACTATTACTTAAGATTCACATGTTTACAAATGAGGGGTGTTTGGAATTGATTCTACTTCTGCTTCTTTTTTAAAGCACAATCAGAATCAGTTTCTAGAAGTTGGTCTCCCCCTGCTTCTAAAAAAACTGATTCTAAGTAGCCATGGACCCGGGCCGGTTCCGGTTCCGGGCTGGGCCCGGCCGGGCTTTTTTTTTGGGAAGGAAGGCCCGGGACCGGCCCGGGTAGCCACCGGGTCCGGTCCGGGCCGGGCCGGGCCTCCGGTTCGGTTATAATTTTTTTTTTTTTTTTTGCTTTCCTAACCCCCCACTCACCCCCCCAAACCCCCAAACCCCTCCTAACCATCAAGCCCAACTTGGCTAACCCCAAAAAAAGAAAAGAAAATTAAAAAAAAATCAATTCGGCCCGGGCCCGGGCCCGACCCGGCCGGGCCGGTTTGCCAAATACAAGGCCCGATCCCGGACCCGCCCACCCCACCGGGCCTAGGCCCGACCCGGACCCGGACCCGAGAACCGGGCCGGTTCCGGGCTCGCACAGTGGCGGGCCGGGCCGGTCCCGGGCCGGGCGGCCCGAACTGGGTCCATGCCTAATTCTAAGAGTAAATTAGAGCACCAGAATCATTTCTGCACTTTCATCAAAACACTCCAACTTCTGCTTCTGCTCCCTGGAGCAGAAGCAGTTTTAAGAATTAGATCCAAACACCCCATGACTCTAGAAACGTTTGTACTCTGTAAAAGTTTGATTAGGACTAGCTTGCAAACGTTTATACATATTTTTTATTTTTAGTATCATCTTTGAGATAAGATTATGAAAAGTTTTCTGAAATAACATTTGGGTTGACTTGCTCTTTCGAATTAGCCGATGTTATCCCAAATTATAAAGTGGGATCGGCACACCATGCGTGAGTGTTGATCTTTTTACTCCTTTATTTTGCTTCCTTTCATGTACATATTTCCTTTTCTTTTGCTCCTTTTTCTTTATTTTCCTATTCAATTCTACAGTTCTTTTCTCATTCTCCAATCTCCATCAAATACTATAAATGTAATTACAATTTTACTTTTCTTTATCTTCAACAAAAATTACAACTCATTCTGTTTTTTATTCTTTATCAATTCATGACAAAAGATGTTAATTTAAATTAAATAAGTATATTACATTTCAAATTCATTCACTTTTTATATTTCTATAAAAAAATTGTATTATATGCTTTTTTGTAATATTTTTTTGTATTATATACTTTTATGTAATATTAATCTAAATAAGATAAGATACATTTAACATTCTTACACTATTTTTTTTTCATATTCACACCTTTTTTACAATAAACTACATTTTTTTAAATAAAGAAATAATTGCATAAATATGACCAAAATAAAGATGATTTACAAAAATATGACTAGTTACTAGAATAGTAATGAGATCATAGTAATTCATGTTCAAGTTTTGAACTTAAGTTATCACAACACCACATTGTATTAATGAATAGTCATATTTATATAAACAAGTTTTATTTTAGTAATATTCTTGTAAAACCTCTTTTTTTAACATGTGTGAGTTATGTTTATAGAAAAATTTTAGAGTTCCATTTGAAAATATATGGAGTTCTATCTTCTTGTGCGTAAATTACATTTTTATGCGTGATTTATATCTTCTTATTTACATTTGAACTTGACTCAAGAAGTTACATTTGCATACATCTAATTTAGTCTTTCTATCAACGGAGATACATTTTTCATAACACGAGTTACATTACAAAGTAAACTTATGCTTTACATATAATATATTTTTTTGGCAAAATGTATATTTTTTTGTCAAAAAAAGTATTTTCCTTAAAACATTTTTATGGCCTTAATATTAAAAACAAAACATACTTAATATTTAAGTAAATTAATTGGACAATTAGATTCTTTGTTTTCATTGTTTACATTTGATAGTATAAGGAGTTACATCTTTTTATACGCTAGTTGCATCTGTTTATACGTGAGTTAAATCTTTTTATGTGCGAGTTACATTTGGATTTGCATCAGCAAGTTACATTTTGCCCTAAGTTAGATTTTTCATCAACGTCATTCACATTTTCCATATTATAAGTGACATCACAATTCTAATTCTGCTATTGAAACAAAAATACCATCTTTTGAAGGGGGGGATGTTTTCTCTTTTGCAAAAATAATAATAATATTTTTGACAACTTTTTTATGGTCTTAATATTAAAAATAAAACATATTCAACATTGAAAACAATGTTTAAGACAAGTTACATTTCGACTTGACTGCGGTTACGTTTCTTTACACGCTAGTTACATCACCTTGCTACTGGGACAAAGAAAAACTCAATTATTGTTCACACGTGTTACTGTGAGACGGGACACCGGGTCGGACTGAGCCAGTACAAAGAATATTTTTTGAAAGTTTTTTACACGAAATATTTAGGCATTTTTTAAATTTGGACTGGACCAGGACCAGGATTGACCCCTCCCTAACTACGCCCATGTTTTCACTATGAGAGCATCATGCTTACTGCAGTTATCCCATGATATAACAATGGATCCATATTGGTGTTGTTCAATTCACATTTGTATTATTGTTAATATGAAATCTTAAATATCCTCCCCATGTTGGAAAATGAAATTTGATATCAAGAAAGTATATTTTGAGTATCATTGTTGGTGATGATTTTTTTAGTTTTGACATTTTCAAAATTAATTGGATGAAAATGATGTGGCAATGATGCACGAGTAAAAAATGGAATATTTTAAAAACATGAATAGGAATGCCTTATGTATTAATTTCTTGCTTAAATACTCATATTTACAGGGATTTCTAAAAATATTACGTAGTACTGATAAAAAATATGAACAAAAACATGACTATAAGAACATCTTAAATATAATAATGTGCATTGTGCACATGTGACATGAGAGAGTTTGACACTTAAAAATAAATCTTTGATATTTCTCTCTCATTTTCACGATTTTATATAATTTTGATAATAATGTTAACTATAATGTCTACATCTAGATATTCTTCTTGACATTGAGGATAAAAATTTATAAAAAACATATAACACCGCTCAAATAAGGAGATATCAATTTTGTGTACTAATATTTGCGTATCTATTTCTCTCATGCCATATGTGCATTGTGCAAATTGTGACATTGGAGATGCTCTATAAGTAAGTTTTATAGTTATTGTGATGTAAAATGTTTATACAATTATACGGAGTATTAACTAAAAGTTATTAGGTCACATTTTTGTGCATTACTTTTTCTTTTGATTAAGTAAAGTTTCTACTAACCCTCTCAGGCTATGTCATAATTATTAATGTAACCTTGCATTTTCAAAAATCAATTAGTTATTCCCTGATATTTGATCATTGATCATATGCTCCCTCACATTATTATTTCTCAAGTTAAATTTAATATAGCTTTTAAATTCAATGAAAGTTGTAAAGTTGTCTATAAAATTAATTTTTAATGTATAATACAATTCACTATCATAATTATAAGTGATTGTTGTTGGTCTTTATTTTTCTACTTAGCTACTCGATTGTTGAATAATGATTAATGAGAGTAGTTGAGGGAAAGACTGAAGATTAACGAGAAATATTCATGGTACTAAAAATTCTTATTTTTCAAGAGATGGTACTAAAAAGTCTAGGCACTTCTTCATCATGAATATTAAAGTGTTATTTGTAATTAATTCGGTTCAATTTATCTCAATGACATTTCTTCCATATGTAGCAAAGAAGAAATACAAAAAAAAAATGAATTTTATCATTACATGACTTAAATTCCTAAACGATAGGTCTAATATCAATAAGGGAACTAAAATGAGTAAGTTTATGGAGACCCATATGACTATCTTATGGAATCATATAGGGTATTGTGGCACCATCTTTACCTCTCAATTCTTAAGTGGAGGGGTCCTGTTGGATAATTAATACCCATATTGTATGAAAAGGAGAGTTTGAACAAGAATGTAGGAGAAGGAGATAGGTGTGTATAGAATGAATTGTGAGTTTCTATGAGTTATATGGCTTACAAGCCTTACATAAGGGAGTATATATAGGGAAATCTGGGCTGAGCTTCTAATATTGGCCCGACAGACCCAGTTACATAAATGGACTGATAGTGTATAAAGCTAATCTAGAACATCTGAATTATAATAATAATGTACAATAATAGGAATGATATCCGCTAAACGTGTGTGGGCCGCTGTCCAGGCCCAGTAGTCGGCAGACCGGGGAGTCGGAGTCCATACACTCCATCAGGAGTCCCCCACTCTCCGAGTCGAGAGTACTCAAGGCGAAAGGGAGTAGTCCAAACTGTAGTTGCAACGTTCTTCTGTCTTTGGTTTCTTCCTCTCCGACCGGGGGACCACCACCCTTGTCCATGATGAGGAGGTGCCTCGTTAAAAACCTTTACTAGGAAAAAACACAATGGGAAAAAATCCTAATAAAGGGGAAAAAAGTACACCTAGCGCCCCCAACACGAAACAAGGAAGGTAAGTCCCCTCCGGCATAATCAATCTAGCTCAGCTCCTCTTCAACTGACTCAGCTCTCGTTTCTACTCATGCGTGATATTTTCTGCTCATCTAGAAACTCTGACCTCTCAGTCCCCCAGTCCCCCACTCCTTGAGGCGAGGTGAAAATGAATAAAGTCATCTTTGTACCTACACATTTAACATACATATAAGTTTTTTCTTGCGATTTATGTTTCCGATCGGGATTTCGTCACTTGAAGCAAGTGGAGATGTGAATTGTTAATGTAATGATAAAATACTTAGTAGAATGGATGTGTGAGCCATTCATAAGCAATGGTCGCCACTCAAGGAATGACTAAGACCGGTCTTCGTGCCCGACTTGGTCGGGGCTTTGTCTTCATGCCCGACTTGGTCGGGGCTTTGTGCCTGATCTTGGTCAGGGCTTTGTGTCTGAGAGTCAGGACTTTAAATCCTAGTGATGGGTCTCAAGCCACACTCTACTAGGCATTTGATCATAAGTGTGTGATAGTGTGATATTCGCCTGACAAAAAAATGATTTAAATAAAAATAAATAATATGAAAATTAAAGAGTACTTATCTTTTTGAAGTTGGGCTGAAAATCGTTGTTGAATTCTGGCCCATCACGTTGGTCACAATCAACTTTGGACCTTTACAATATTGGTCCATCACAATTTACATTGGTAAGAATCAAGCATGGACTTGAAGTAGCCTTGGCCCAAGAATGGAGCCCTATTCGTAGAAGCGTAGGTCTGGTTGAGAACTTCAAGAGAGGGAGGGTCGGCCATCGCCGGTGCACGACAGGAGCGCTGTGTGGTCGGAGTTGCTGTCCCTAGGACTGAGAATAGTCGGCGTCGCTGGTGGAGAGGAAGGGAGGTCCCCGTCACGGTCATCGTCGGACAGGGAGAGTGTTAGATTTCATCTGCCACGTCATCGATCCTGACTATTATAGCTAATATTCTGTTAGTTAGAAAGTCGTTAGAAGTACGGATAGCATGTATTAGCTTAAATAGTTGGAGCTGCATTGTAATGAAGGGCTTTTGTAATCTTCCATCTTTGAAATAAAGATTCCTTCTCTTCCATCTTACGCTATAATGTTCTATGTTTGATGTCCGAATTGAATTCTTTTCCTTGTTGAATTCCTGCATCAAACTGTATAGTTTATCGGAGAATTCCCTTAAACTATAACATTTGGTATCAGAGCATCGGTTCTGAGGAACCCAAACTTTACCAAATACTCTCTCCGTCCCGTAATTAAGTTCTCACTTTTCTTTTTCGGATGTCCTAAACAAGTTCCTACTTCTTTATTTGGCAAATAAATCTACATCAAAACAGTGCAAAACAATGTCAAACAGTGTCCAAACAACAAAATAGATCACTCCACAGTAAAGTCAAATTTATTTTCTTAATATATGTGAAGTCAAACACAAAACTTAATTGCGGGACGGAGAAAGTATGATATGAAACAATTTTAGTGGGATTTTTCAAAAATATAAAACAGAACAATATAAAAAGAACGAAAGGAGTATTAAATAATCCGTATGAAGATTGAAAAATGTGAATTTTTTTAGCGAATGAGAATGTTGTTTAAAAAACTTTTTTTATAATTTTGCATATAAAATATTGATATCAAATGAAAGATCATAAAAAATTATGAATTTTGGTATATGTTTTATAAAAATTGGAGCAAAAATGAAATTTTATAGAACTTTGAAGAAAAAAGGCGTTGTTTTATGAAAAAAGATTGGGGTACACACTTTTTGTACACAAAAAGTGTACACTCGTCTGTCCCCCACAGACAAATTGTCTGTCGCGAAATGAGTTGTCTGTCCCACAGACAATTTGTCTCGCGACAGACAATTTGTCTGTGGGAGACAGACGAATGTACACTTTTTGTGTACAAAAAGTGTGTACCCCTACAGGCCTCTTGTTTTTTATATCCTAGGCCCACTAGCCTCTCCTCCATCATACGAAGTACGGAGTACTATTATACGAAGTATATATCCTAGGGTGCCTAACTGCCTGGGTTGCTCCGGCTATTCTTCATTCTTGTTAACTACAGTTGAGCTCAACGTACTTTGGTACTCTATATATTTTTAACTCAACTCTAAATTTGTAAATAACTGTTTATTCAACATTATTTAGGAAAAAAACTCCTGATTCCGCACCTTTTTTTTTTGTTTTCGAGACTGATTTTTGGTGGATTTTTTTCAAGGTTCCAACTATTTTGGATGAATTTTGTGATTTTGGTAGAATTTTTGGTTAAGCGGGGAGGGTTTCTCACTTGATTCTGTTCAAACTCTCAACGAGAGCACCATTTGTTGGATAATTAATACTCATATTGTATGAAAAGGAGAGTTTGAACAAGAATGTAAGAGAAGGAGATAGGTGTGTTTAGAATGAATTGTGAGTTTCTATGTGTATATAAAATTATGATCCACAATGGAGTGAGTACCTTATAAATGAGCCTAGTTAGGCGCTGTCTGGGGTCCATTTATATCTACTCGTGAGTACTTTTCCTTAACTATTCTGGAGTAGCTGAATAGAAAAATAATGATCCACAACAATGACTTATAATTATGATAATAATTTGTGTTTTACTTTAAAATAAATTTTATAGACAATTTTGATTGAATTTAAAATTTATATTAAATTTGATTTAACAAGTACTAACTTCAGGAGTAAAGAATGAGAATGATCTAAATTCAATGGGTAACAAATTGGTTTTTGAATATCTCCAGGTGGCTAATACAGTAATGATTTTTCCCTTTGATTATATGTTTGAAAATGTATCATTTTTATTTATTTATTTATTTAGTGTAAAAAGTCTAAAGTGAGGGAGGAGATATATTACGTGGTGCCCGAGATTACAACTAAATCTTTTAAATTTCCCCCCATAATCGTACTCCGCACCGAGATTACTTACTAATAACAGAACAGAGTAGCAAAACGGAAATGCAAATACGTTCCGTCGTCAGACACCGTGAAAGTAGCCAATCAGCGTTATTGCGATGATATTCCGTATCGGGCCATAGATTTGCTCTCACTCTCAGTAAATTCTCTTACTGAGAGAGAACTGCCATTCCTAATTAAACTCGATTTGAAGCTTTTCTGGGCGAACCCTAGGAGAAATGGGTGGGCTGGCAAAGAAGAGGAAGGAGAAAGAGCAGCTCTTTGCCAAAGGATCCCTCATCGAGGTCAGAACGAACGAAGAAGGCTTCTCCGGAGCTTGGTTCGAGGCCGTCGTCGTCAATCCAGATCCTTCTGATTCGGCTACAAAATCCGCCTACAAGAAGAAGAAGAAGGCCGCGGAGATCTACGTGCAGTACGACACCTTACTCGCAGACGATGGTCATAGTCTTCTAAAAGAGTTCGTGCCCCAGGAATACATCCGGCCCCGCCCTCCTCCTCAAACCGTTGAGGGTTTCAAGCTCAACGACACGGTTGAGGCGTGTTATAAGGATGGGTGGTGGACTGGTGTTGTGACTAAAGTTCTACCTTCTAGCCGCTACACCGTCACCTTTGACAACCCGCCGGACGAGCTTGAATTCGGCCTGTCTGACCTGAGATTTCACCGTCGGTGGCTTAACGGGAAGTGGACCCAGCCCAAAAAGGTAGCTTGTAAACCCCATTTTCCTCCCACCTCCCACTCTCACACAATCCGCATTTTCAGATTGCATTAGTTACTGTTCTTTCTTCTCTTTGCATTGTCATATTCAAGGATTTGCTTTTTCAGGCATGCAAGGACTGCATGCACAGTATAATGTAGTTAGATTATATACTTGTTGGATGATCCGAGTTACTTGCATTTAAAAGGACTTCTGCAATCATTGACCAAATCAAGACTTTTTAAGTTCTCGCAAAGAATAAACCAGTTAAAACTTAAAAGTTGAAACTTCTTCTTTAGGAGTGAAAGAGTCCTATTGGGAGAAAAAAGAATAGTGGTTCTATTTGATAATAAATGTGTTATGCCTTGGTTCTATTAGGGGAATTTTATATAGATCTCTGAGACTTTGACAAACACACAAAGTGTACCTCTATTATAAAATTTCATTGCATTTATATGATTCATTTAAGTGCCAACGTTGATAGCTGAGAAGCTGACAGATCTGAAAACGATTCTGCACACACATATACAATCATATGCTATTTTAGTACTGATTCAAATCATTCAATCCTCCAATGTGTTAAAGTACTGATTCCTTTTCACTGGTTTTATTAATTACCTCTAGTTTATTACCACTAATCTGTTTTGTTGTTAATATATGCATCAGTGGTTCATTAAAACTTACCATATATGGGATATATAAAATGGTTATTATTTGCTTCTTATTTTTTGCTTATTTAGTTTTAAATTCATATTCTTTTGGGGGGTAAAATTCTCAAAAGAAAAAAGCAGGATTGACATATAGTGTGGGGGGAATGGTAGAAGTCTCATTTGACGGGGTTGAGTGTAAGGATGCTTGGTTCCCTTCAAAAATCGTTAAAAGTCGTGGTGATGGCTCTTTCTTGGTGAAGACCCCAAGGCCAAATGGTGAAAGTGAAAAAGAGCTAACTAGACTAGCTTTTGATGATGGCATTCATATCCGACCATGCCCTCCACTCCACATCAAACAAAATCATAAAAGTTATGGTTTGCTTGACAAAGTAGATGCATTTTATGATTTCGGATGGTGGCTTGGAGTGGTGAGCAAAATACTTCTCGACGATGAGTATGTTGTTGTCTTTCAACATGCAAAAAAGGAGAGGGTGCTCAATCACTCCGATCTGAGACCTCACATGATTTGGAAAGATAGAAAATGGTATACTTCTCAGGTATTCTCACTTTCTCTCTCTTCTACTAATGCTCCTTTTGCCCCAAAAGGAGTATCAAATGTGTGGCGTAAGGATATTGTGATAATTATGGCTCTTATCTACTATCCAAAATAGAAGTCTTGCACTCATTTTTAAACTGTCAACAAAAGAATGTGTTGCTACTATTAAAGAACGGAGGATAGTCTAATATTGCATTCAGTGCAAAACTGTGTTTGTGTTTTTGTTAAGAGGATCTATTAGTTTTCCACAAAAATACATCATGAGGAATTGTTCGGATTGTATTTGGAATTTAGAGATTTTGATTTCCATACATATTCTATTTCAGGGTGAACTGGTCTCTTCATATTGCAACATTGAGGAAGGGGACAACTGCAATGATCTGGATATGATCCAAAGTGATATTCCGTCCAATAACCAATGTACTCCTACAAACGGAACAACTGGAGAGGGAATGACCAGCTCCTTAGTTTCTGATGGGGAGAAGAGTCAGCAGCTAACTGTTTGGAACGCTTCAAGTTCTAGAGTCTCAGTGACGGTAAAGAAGCAGCGTTTAGATCTGTCAACAGGAGGTTCAACTCCATTACCATCCTATGACACATCTAAGAAAAAGGAAAGTGAATGTGAAACTCCAGCTAAGGAAATACCATGTAGCTTTTCCAGCCCAGATCAATCTTCTATGGGGAATACAGCTGTAAGTATATTTGCTGGAAGCATATTTTCTTCTAACACAGAGAAAGTGAGGGAGGCGGGGGAGGTTCTACAACCAATAATAATAATAATTATAGTAATAATAATTATTACTATTAGTATTATTACTATTACTATATTGCGGGTAATATAGTAATAGTAATACTTCTATTAGTAATAATAATTAATATTACTATTATTATTGGGGTTTTCCTAAAGTATTAGTAAAATTGAACATCAACACTGTCACTTAAGTTGCTACAAAACACGACTGTAGTAACTGTGTTGTAAAAGTCGCATTTTTGTCCACCCTAAGAACACATAAAATCTCAAAACAATCAGGCCCCATAAAATCTGAAAACAATTAGGGCTCAAAAGTTTAGTAATAACAGTTACACTCCGCTGTAACTGTCACACCCTGCTTCCTTGCAATAATGTGTTCTAAAATATGCTAGAATTAATCCAAGAGTTTTTTCAAAGAGGTTTTTACTTGGATATTACTAATTTTAAATCAATTAGCCAAAAAGTGACCACTTTTAGAAAGGGGCAAAAAAGTGATCAAGAAGGTCATATATGTGCAATTAGAAACATGATGTAACTGCAAAAAATTTATGTCACTGCGTGTTCGTTTTTTTTGTAACTACAGCCACCACTCATGTCACTACAACCACCGCCCGTGTCACTGTAGCCACCGCCCATGTCACTACAACCACCGCCCGTGTCACTGTAGCCACCGCCCATGTCACCGTAGCCACCGCCCGTGTCACCGTAGCCACCACCCGTGTCACCGTAGCCACCGCCCGTGTCACTTTAGCCACCGCCCGTGTCACTTTAGCCACCGCCCGTGTCACTTTAGCCACCGCCCGTGTCACTTTAGCCACCACTCGTGTCACTGTAGCCACAGTGACTGCCCGCCCCGCCCGCCCGTCACAGTGACTGCCCATCCACCGGACACAGTCACTGCACCGCCAGAGCACCACCGGTGCTGCCAGCCTGCCTGCACCGCCAGAGGCCCAGAGCACCACCGCTGCGAATGTTTTTGAAAAACGAGCCTTTAGATCTATCATCACTAGTGTTTTTCCACCATATTTTTATAATTGAAATAGCAACGCTTTAATCCAGAAAATCATTCAAAATCCTATGAAACGATACGATGAGCAAATAACAAGGAAGAGATGGACATAGGCCACATTATCATCGACGGTAAACTCACTGTGATAGTCTTTTTATTGTCTCACCATATTTTGTTCTTATAGTGAGTTTGTGTTCGAATTCAACTACTGAACTGTGTATAATATATAAAATCTCTTCAATTTTCAATTTATAGTCCATAGCCGCCATCTCCATGGATCTAAATCCGGACCTATCATTGACCACAATCCCGGCCGCCACTCCCCGACCGTCGAACCACTTTCTTCGCCGGACAGAAAAATAATAAATAGAAGCGGGGTAGGGCGACCGCGACGCTGTGTTATCGGCAAACGGAAAAAACGACGGTAACAGAGACAACCAAGGAAGAGGAGGAGGTGACGGCGACAGAAGGGGACCTGAGGTGGCGGCGATGTGCTGCTTGGTGGAGGAGTTTGCTGATGTGCTCTTCGTATCTGCTCTCTAAAGTCAGGATCCTGTTGAGGCTTCGTCGTTGAGGATGAGTTGATAGAAGGTGAGGATGGGGATAGTAAGAGGGTAACAACCTGTTATAATTAAATGAGGTCAGATTTTTGGGAAACTGAAAAATGGTCATAGTTTTGAAATTGAAGAGTGCGGAAGTCATATTCAGGCCTTTTTTTTTTCAAAACTATTACTAAAATGAAACTCATTTACAAAAATATGACTAACAGTTACTCTAGTATAATCTCATAGTCACTTAAGTGTAAAAATTAAATATAAGTTACTATGACTAAGTTACCACTATAGTCACTATACAAAGGAGGTCACATTTTTGTAAATGACATTTATTTTAGTCATATGTATGTAATGTCTTAATCCAAAACAATGTCTTGCTTGAAAGTAGCTATAGAATTTAGGTGAATTCTTCTTGCTATGTCTGCGACTTTGACTCTGTTTAATAGTTTTATGTTTGTTTTCTTCTACCATTTATGTAAATTCATAATTTGATTAGGAGAGGAATAGCTCTGAAGTTAATGAGCAGGGATCAGTATCAGGTCCACATCGAAAGAAAGGGAGGCCATCAAAATATAAAGCAAAACGCCCACAACCTATAGCTCAAGAAGGTACATGTTTCTTATCTTTTTTTTTTGTGTTTTTCTTGTTTAAAATACATGGCTCAATTGGAGAAATGGTAAACAGGTACACCAAACAGAAAGAGAGGAAGGCCACCAAAGGCACTTGTTGAAACTCCTGACTTACAAATAGAATATCAAGTTCCAGGTAAGGAATGGTCTTTTTGTAGTTCTGTCCGCTTGGGTGTGTTATGGATTATGCAAAAAAGAATCATGTTTCTATATATCTTTAATATAAAGGATTTTGGTTTTAATCATTTCGTAGCCGCTATTGAGACTCGTGGAGAGGAAAATGTTGGATCTGTCGGTATGGAGAAAATAGGTCATGAAGATTCTAGCAATGTCTCTGATGATCAGCCTCTCTCAACGTGGGTTGGTAAAGTGCACACCGTAACTGATGTGGATGGATCAAGTAAGTTATATCTTGTTGTACTTCCCTTTTTATACTTTGTTTCTATTTGATTGCAATGATTTTGTTTTGATGTTGCCAATGCACAACTTTGGTTGTTAATATATTTAACAGACTATTTATAAAAATCATTAAAAAAAAAATTACACCAAAACAAATTTAACACTCTCTGTCCCAAATTTTCTTCACCCTTTCCTTTTTCAGGACGCCTCAAAAGATTTTCCCATTTCCTTAGGGGATGATTTATGTGTTTGATATTGTTTTTCTTTTGTTTACATCAACTACAATCTTACAACTTCACTTTCTTAATAATCCAAGTCAAACTGGGAAAGCTTTTTGGGATGGAACTCATGGAAGTAGTACTCCTTAATATTTTTCATCATATAATTTTTTTAAATACATTAATAAATAAAATGTTGTCATGTTAGAGTATGTGAAGAGTAGAATAGGCAAACTATTGCAACTATCAAAGAAAAGAGGTAATATGATTATGTGTTTATGACATTTTACGTTAACATCACCACCACTATAATAACTATAAATGTTATTATTACGCCAGCAAGTAATGGAGAGCGAGGCACAGAATCAGGTGAGAAGTCTGCCGAGCAAAATCCAAATGGTAAAGTGACAACTGCAAGTGAGCTCCACCAAAGCCTACCTTTTGTGAAGAAAGACACACGTCTATGGAACATAATAGAATCCAGAGAGGCTTTCCAGAAAATTCCACAGAATCCGCATTTTCGGCCACTAGAACATGTTGAAGACTTTCGCCGTGAAGCTCAGGCTTTCTTCTACATGGGAACTTTCACTGATATAGTAGATAAGGCTTGCAAATTGGAGGTTGATGGTCCGAGAAGCACCATTGATGGAATGCTGGCCACACTTGTTGAATTGGAGTCGCATGGGTTTAATGTTGCGCCGATACGTGGTCGTTTGAATGAGGTCCTGTCATATAAAGACAAACTGGAAAGTCTTCAAGCCTTGTCAAAGGAATCCTGCGATGAAATGGAGAAGCTCAAAATGGACAAAGAAGAGCTCATGAAGCAAAAAGCTGAGTTGGAAAAAGGCCTTTCCCAGGTGGTGTCCAGGATAGAGTCCAAGGATAATGACATTGCTTCTGCACAGTCCAGGATGGATGAGACCAGCGAGAAAACAAGACACTTGCGCCAGGATTTGGATGCTTTAACTCGCAAACCATTTTGAAAAGTACTACTGCACTACCAAACTTGTTGGTAGTGCGCAGAGTTGTGTTTATGCTATGGATTGTTCACCCCCCGTTAAACAAGTAGATGATATCGAACTCTGCAATTATGAATTGCTTTCATGATCCAAGCGGGTCTTTCTGACTGATTTTGGAACCAAGATCTCTCTAGATTAATGTAACAATTAGGAGTAGTTTTAAGTAGATTATTGGGGGTGAAACATCATTTGGGATTTCATCTTTAAGAGAGATTAGCTTTTTCTTAATTCCTCCTTTTCTTTGGTCTCATTGATTTAAATTTAGTATGTGTTCTTGGATTCCACGTGGTTGGTGTTTATAATATCATGCTTCGCTTAGATGTTAGTGTACGTGTCTTGAACATTGCAAATTTTTTATTTTTGGCACAATTGAAATATTGAATCCACTTAAGTGACCATTTGGTGAAATAGACCAAGTCCATGTATTGGGTTTGAGAAAGTACTTTTACTGAATACTTTAAGCTTGTTACAGAATAAGCCCTCATACTATAGTCAATTTGACAATTAGATCATCTCTCCATCTGGTTTCTCCTTACTACGTACGTGTTTGTCTTTTGTTCTTAAGATTTCATTTGTGCGTGGGTTACAGGTTGAAGGATGAGCAGTAGCAAATAGAAGGTAGTAGGTCATTAAAAATGAAACAGGGGAAGGGAATAGGTGAAAACAGATGAGGGGAGATGGGGAAGAGGGGAGCAGGGGTAAGATGAGGTAACAACTAGGGGTGGATTAGGTTCGGGAACCGAACCGAGATAGGAAAACTCCGACCTGAACCGATTTTTCGGTTTGTCAAATTCTACAAACCGCAACCGAGCTGAATATTATTGAAACCCAGAATTTTCGGAAACCGAAATTTCAGGCCGGTTTTCAGTTTTGATAGAAAACCGACTGAATTTCAAAAGATTGAACTAAGTTGAGGCTTTGAAGGAACGAAAGAGGAACGAAGCCACAACTGTATGGAATGGGCATATATATAGGAACGAAAGAGGAGTAAATCCTCGGCGCATAGAGTTCCCTTCCTGAACCACTGGACGGACCGCAGCTTCTATTTGTTTAACTAAGACTTAAATAGAATATAATACCTATTTGTTCTGCAGAATAAATAATTAAATTTTCCCTAATAAAGTTCGGTTCAGTTCGGTTTGAACCAATTTTATAACTCTAAAAACCATCTTTAAACCGATTTATGTTCGGGTCCCGACTTTCGGGTCAGTTTGGTTTCGGTTCAATTTTTTTATTGTTCGTTTCGGTTTTCTTTGATTCGGTTTTCGGTTTTTCGATTTAAAATGTCAGCCCTAGTAACAACTAACCAGGGAAAAAGAAAGGGAGAAAGAAAGAAAGAGAATGAAGAAGAAAGAAGAAAATTATTATAGGGATAGGAAAAAAGCCATATAAACATTAAATGAGAATGATTACCAACTATAAATTTAGACTATTTCCAACCTTGCACCATCTATACATCTATACTATTTAAATATAAGAGTCAATTTGGTCCTCGAAGTTGCAAAAAAGGAGTCAAATAAGTCCTTATATAGAAGATTCTGTCCGGACGTGCCATTTGAGGTGGTTCCCGGTGGATTTTTTTGATAGAAGTCCTTTTAATGCATTTTTTTTCTTGGGATTATTATGGCTAACTAGAACCTTTTCATCAAATTTTTAATATTATGACTACTACGTATTTTTTTTCTTCCTGACTAGACTAGACTTAAACAGACCCAGGCTGAAATATATCAAACTTGACGAGTAAATTTCAGAGAAAATTGCTATGGCTTGGACTAAAACATATGTTTCTTCCCAAATAGGATCAAATGTTTGGATTTCTCTCAATAGAACTAATCATTCCATTTTTATCCCTAATTGAATTAATTAATTAATTAACTCAATTAATTGCCCCTAGTTCTCTTGCACAATCAAGACAGTCCGTTGGTGGCGGGGCAATCCGATGGCGGCGGTCCGCCAGAAAAAAATTCAGGAATTTTTCCGGCAGTGGTGGCAGGCGGTCCGGCAGCAATAGCAGGTGGTCAATCATAAATAAAAAAATCATATTTAAAAATATTTAAACTAATTGTTCTTATTTTAAAAAAACCATATTTTAATCCTATTAAAATAAATCTCCCTAAATTTCGGTTAAGTAAAAACATGGGGCAAGTCCATAACAAGTACACAAACGACAACCTCTTCATTGTGTTTCAAGTTTCAAACACAAAACTACGTAGTATTTTGTACTTACAATGGCTTATTCTCATCGTATGCTCTCATTGCAGATTTGCAGACGGAGAAAAGAGAAGCTCAGGCAGAGAAGAACCAATCAGTGTACTGCACTTTCTTGCACATGAAGAAGCTAAGCATTTCACGCAGGTCCATAGTTTGGGCGAAAATTCTTTTAAACTGAATTCATTTATTTATGTGTTATGGCAATTATGTGAAAGGGAGCATTATAGAGACGGGCCTGTACAATGAAGCAGCTTTGAATTAGCAAAACCCAAAAGTCAGTGAAACCAGATATTTGATTTCATACTCTCCCTTTAACTTCTGAGATGCGTCTGTTGAAACCAGATATTATAGACTTCCAGCCCATTTTCCGCCATATTGCTACCCATTCAATTAATTTAAACCACGCCATCAACCGATTCATCCGCAGCGGCAACCTGGATGGAGCTAGAGACCTTTTCGATCGAAATCCCATCTCCCGAAATGTGGTCTCCTGGAATTCAATGATCATGGCATACTTCAGGCAGGATCAGGCCCAACAAGCAGAGGAGCTGTTTGATCAAATGCCCTATAGGGACCTCATTGCCTGGAACACAATGCTTTCTGGGTTTCGTCACACCAATCAACCGCAACAAGTCTACAGCTTCTTCCGTCAGATGAATAGAGTTGGGGAGAGGCCAAACGAGCTCACCTTCGCTGTTGCAATCAGTGCCTTCTTAGAAACCAAATTCAACATTCTCATCCCTCAGCTCCACTCTCTGGTCATCTGCTCAGGCGTAAAGCTCAATGTTTTCGTCGGGTCTGCCTTGATGAGGGGTTATACTGACTTGGGTAGTTGCGAGGGGTTGGATCGGGTGTTTGATGATATTTTATTGGGCTGGAAAGACGTTATTCCTTGGAACGTGTTGATTCTGGGTTATATGGAGTTTGGGCTCACTAGTAAGGCTCAAGAAGCTTTTGATATGATGACTCCTGAGAAGAACTTCGTCACCTGGAGTACTTTGATCAATGGGTATCTAAAAAATAGGGATCTTGATAAAGCACGTCTTATGTTCGATAAAATGACCGAAAAGGATGTGGTCTCGTGGAGTGCAATGCTGAAAGGGTATGTGCAAAACGGACACTTAATCAAAGCTCTGGACTTGTTTCTGTTGATGTTGACTTCCTCAACTCGTCCTAACCATTTCACTTTATCCACCATTTTAGATGCATGTGCAGGATACTCTTCCCTTGCCATAGGCATTCAGGTGCACACGTTGGTTTTAAAGATGGGTATCTGTCGTAATGTCATAATCTCAACCTCACTTGTTGACATGTATGCAAAATGTGGCGACATTCAATCTGCTTTCCTCATTTTCAACTCCATGCGCAGAAAGACCTTGGCTTCATGGAATTCTATCATTGGAGGATGCGCCAAACACGGCCTTGGATGTAAGGCAGTGGAGGAATTTGAGAATATGCTGAAGAGTGGGATTAAGCCAGACGAGATAACCTTCATCAATGCACTTTCAGCTTGTGTTCATGGAGGAATGGTCGAGGAAGGTGAACGGATTTTCAGATGCATGGGGAGAGAGCATGGGGTGGAACCGGAGATGAAACACTATGCGTGTATGGTGGATTTGTACGGGAGGGCAGGGGAGCTGGATAAAGCAGAGGGTTTAATAAAAGAGGGGATGCTGCTCTTCGAGGCTGACGTGGTTGTTTGGGGGGCCTTTCTTCAGGGATGTGGGCTGCATTCTTACCCCGAGGGTGAAGGGATTGCAGCAAAGCAAATGATCAAATTGGAAAGGGATCATCCAGCAGCTCACTCGGCTTTGTCTAAAACCTTAGGTAAAAATGGAGCAACCGACATCTCTACAGCCGAGCGAAAGTGGCGTGCTAGAAAGCAGAAAGCTGGTAGTTGGGTTGAGTTGTAGTTTGTATTGTTAGAGAATATATTGTGCATATATATTCTTTGGACTATACTATTGGGTTGTTGAGCCATGTATGGCGGCTGTGTTCAGCATAGGGATGAAAGCTGAAAAGGAGAAATGGGAGACATGAGGGGAGCTAGGGTCTAACAAACCATGGGCCTTGGGCATGGGGGTGCCCCCAGCCCCCCGCCACCACTCCGCCTGTGGATATAGAGGAACTTCTGGGCCTTGAGGTAAAATAAAGAAGAAAAAGGAGACAATTGAGAGTTGAGACTTGCGCAAGGCATTACCCCAAAAGTACGTCTGTAATGGCAAAGTATAAGGTCCAACAAACAACAAATACTCCCTAAATATAAGCAAGTTTCTCTCAAAGTGTGTACTCACTTTGTAAGAATGGAACTCAAAGTTTTATTACACCAAAAAATGGTGAAGAAATTAAAGATGTAACTCTCAAGAATTTGATGGGTTAAATAGATAAGCTCTCAGATAGTTGTGTATTCGAAATGTGATAGTAGTCAAGTAGATATGTATCTATAGGTAAAAATAATAATCTCTTAATATCACAAGGGCTTTCAACAATAATGGAGATTAATTCGAAACAAAATCGGATCTGAATTAGTCTGGAAATAGGGTTATGCGAGCTGTAGGCTATCAGGGAGAGGAGACTTATTAAATCCCTCTTAAGTAGAAGAAGCGACTTTAGCTGGACCGTGAAAGACTTCGGTTTGATCATAGCTTGACTGAGTGAAGCAAGGGTAACCAACTTGTGTGTTGTTGTTACTCATCTGTTCTTCAGCAAGTTAACTACCACTCTCTTCCACAGAATGTTGATCACCTTACTGTAAGTCAACTTGCTGTCAACCAACTCTCGGATAACCTCGTTTATCATCATGTTGTGGTCAAAAGATTAAGTGTCATCCTATTAATAAAAATTGTATTTTACACAAGTGTCATCCTAACAATTTTGGAAGACTTATATGCGGATGGCTTGGTGTTGGATCTAAATATTTCGTCTGAGCCTATGACTCATACACCGCAATTAAGGGAAATAATGAAGGTTGTTAGAGACTTAGAGAGCATTGTGTTAATTTCATATCAGAGAAAGATCATGAGACGCTTGAAAGCAAATATTTGCTCTCATAATTCGAATCACCTACTCCGTTGTCGTTGCATTTAATATACTTCGTAGTTAGTTTCTACTTTCTATGATACACGTATATAGTCATGTGAATATGATGATAGCCTGATAGGGCAATTCATGCATGTGCTTATGCAATCTAAAAAAATAGGAATTCAAGTACGTAGGTGCAATGGCATAGGCTCTCTGTCTTGAATAGTTTTGTCAAATTTTCGTATTTAAAAGCAACAAATTTTCAATTTCCTTTTAAAAGCAACAAATTTATGGTTCATATTATGTATTTTTTTTTTAACATAAATTTCAATCAAATTTTTTATTTTAAGTGCAAGTTAAATTTTATCAAAAGCACCATGAAGAAATGCTCGGTAGTTTCAGTTAGTCATGGACCTGGTCCGGTCTGACTGGCTCGGGAACCGGCCCGCTACTGTGCGGGCCCGGTCCGGAAGACTGGTTCCGGTACCGGGCCTAGGCCCGACCCGGAGAGCATACCGGGGGCGGTCCCGGGGCACCAAAATAGCGAACAGGCTCGGCCGGTTCGGGCCTCTTGTTTTTTTTTTTTTGGTTTGGGCTGGGTTTAGGTGGGTTGGGTGATTCCGAGGGGTTTGGGGGGGTAGGGAGGGATGGGGGGGTAGGGGTTGAAATAAATAATAAAAAACACACAAAAAAAAACCGGGAACCAGCCGGCCCGGCTTGAAACTGGCCTGGAACCGGTAGCCTACCGGGCCGGGGCTGGACCTTACCCACAACCTTCCAGGCCCAAACCGGGCCCGGTCCACCACTAGTTTCATTTTTTTTTATGGAGTTTCAGTCTTGATATAAGACAAACTGGATTTTTTTTACACCATATAAGACAAACTAGATAGTTAGCTGAAAAACTCGATGAAATGGAAAACCTTGCAATCTGGCATGGTGCCATGGAGTAAGAAACCTTTCCGGAAGATGTGATTAGTTGATTACTACGCATCTACGCCCACTTTTTGAGATTTTAATAATCATCCACAGGTAATGTTAAACTGCAGTTTATGGTTTACAATATATAAGTAATCATATTCTCCCCTAATAGCACATAAATTCATACTATTAATTATAATTTGCATGCATATTTCAAAGATGATAAAAGTTTTATCAAATCACTTGATCACCAAATATGAACTTGAGATAAGCTCGGTTCTTAAGTTTAGAGATTAAAAGCAAATCAAATTAACAGCATGAAAGTATCGAGAGGGTTTGACACCAACTCAGCATTAAAAGCAAATCACTCATTCGGAGTTCGGACTAGGGGTGGACCGGTTCCGGTTCGGGCCCGGTTCGGGCCTGGGCCCGGCCGGGCCTCGGTTCAGAAAAAGGAGGCCCGGGCCCGAACCGGTGGTGGGCGGTTCCGGTTCCGGTTCCGGGCCAGAACCGGGCTGGGCCACCCGGAATGTTTTTTTTTTTTCTTCTTCTTCTCTTATTTAACCCCCTACCCCTCCCCCTCCACCCCAAACCACCCCAAACCACCTCAAATGGCCCAAAATACCTAATCCAACCCAAAACTTAAAAAAAATTCAAAAAAAAAAAAAAAAATTAAATTCCGGCCCGAACCGGGCCCGGCCCGGCCGGGCCGGTTCACTAAACTGGAGGCCCGGGCCCGGACCGGTATACCACCGGGCCTGGAGGCCCGAACCGGAACCGAACCGGTATACCACCGGGCCTGGAGGCCCGAACCGGAACCGAACCGGTTGACCGGGCCGGTCCGGGCCCGCACAGTAGCGGGCCGGTCCGGTTCCGGGCCGGTTGGCCCGGCCCGAGTCCATCCCTAGTTCGGACTTATCAACTCAAAATTCACTTATTCGGACTTATCAACTAGGGGTGGACCGGTTCCGGTTCGGGCCCGGTTCGGGCCTGGGCCCGGCCGGGCCTCGGTTCAGAAAAAGGAGGCCCGAGCCCGAACCGGTGGTGGGCGGTTCCGGTTCCGGTTCCGGGCCAGAACCGGGCCGGGCCGGGCCACCCGGAATGTTTTTTTTTTTTCCTTCTTCTTCTTCTCTTATTTAACCCCCTACCCCTCCCCCTCCACCCCAAACCACCTCAAATGGCCCAAAATACCTAATCCAACCCAAAACTTAAAAAAATTTCAAAAAAAAAAAAATTAAATTAAATTCCGGCCCGAACCGGGCCCGGCCCGAACCGGGCCCGGCCCGAACCGGGCCCGGCCCGGCCGGGCCGGTTCACTAAACTGGAGGCCCGGGCCCGGACCGGTATACCACCGGGCCTGGAGGCCCGAACCGGAACCGAAACGGTTGACCGGGCCGGTCCGGGCCCGCACAGTAGCTTGGCCGGTCCGGTTCCGGGCCGGTTGGCCCGGCCCGAGTCCATCCCTATTATCAACTCAAAATTTGTATAATTATAATTTAATAAAAGATTTTAAAATGGTAGAAAGACAGGCCAACAGGGTTTGACACCAGTTTATCTGCCCCCACCCCCATGCAAACAACAAGTTTGCCACAAAAACTGCTTCCAGTTCCAGCAAAATATAAACAGAGATACTATATGCACTATAAGTTACATATGAACAAAAAAGGAGCAGCATGCGCCTGATGGATAATGATACAATCACAACAAAGGGAGCACTAGGGGCATGGCTATGAAGCTGGATCACACCCACTATACATCTTCTCTTCTCATACTGCTACTACTGCTGCATGTTTGCTTTCTGGGTGTGTGATTACGTGATCATGAAGAAGCAGGACCTTTAGTGTGCCTGATTCCTTCAACCAGGCCGCCACCACATCCCCGGATGAAACAAACCTCCCCATATTACATTTGGCAACTTCAAATGGAGCCCCAATGCTGTCCAACAGCGCTTCTATTGCTCTCTTCAAGGTCCCATCTCCCATTACCTTGCTGTGTTTTCCCCATCCAGTCAATATGCTGCCCATTCCACACATCACACATTATTTCATTAACCAGATTCCCACCTGGCACTCTTTATTAGGAAATCGAGTATGTGTGTGTGTGTAAAGTTAAGCCATACCTCAACCACCTGGGTAGGTCATGGCCTTCAAAAACAACTGCACGTATACTGAGTAACCAGGCATGCAACATAGCACGTGCAGCACCTGAAGACATCAAATGGAGATCCAAGCATGAATTGGACCATGTGTTTTCCCACACATTCCGCCGTTTTCCTTCCAGCACCACCAATTGTGCACCCCGTCTCTGCAATAAACGATGTAAGAGCATTTCTCAATATAAAATCAAACAAATTAAAATGCTTCAAACATGTACTACCTCCATCCCATTTTATGTGTCTTAGTTTGACTTGGCGCGGTTATTAATGAAGTGGTTGAAAAAGTAAAAGTTGTGGTTGGAGTTTGAGTATGATAAAGTGAAATTGTGTAGGCCACATTTCTTTCCAAAAAAGGAAAGAAGGCACTTATTTTTGGGACAACCCAAAAAGGAAAGTAGGACAGGTAAAATGAGACGGAGAGAGTAATTATTAAGACGAGAATTATAGCATTGCCTTATATGTTTTGTATTTTTGTATTTTTCTAAGCTTAAAACATTCCTGCAAGATGATACCTCGTGCAAAATACAAAACTTGAAGTGCATATATTTTGGGTATGTTTGGCGCAACTAGCTAAAAAGATAATTTTACAAGCTTTTTAATAACTGTTAGCTTTTAGTGACTGAAAAAATCTTAAAAAGAAAAGGTGATAGCTGTTTGGTAAAAAGCTGACTGTTTGATTTAGTTCGGTTTGGTATACAAGCTGTTAGGACTAATTTAAACTAAAAGTCACGAGCTTTTCTCAGATGCTACACCTGGTAGCATCTCAAAAAAGATCTTTTAATTTTTGAAAAGGTCTTAAAAAATGTCATGCCAAACATACAACTAGAGTCTTTTAAGGTCTTTTTAAAGAATAGAGAAGCTAGAAGCTAGAGTCTTTTGTGTGCCAAACATAGCCTTTGTCTTTAAGCTTAGTCATTTCGACTGCTCATTTGAGCTTGACTTGAATCCATCTCAAAATGTTACTCGCAGGACCACAAGATGGTCTCTCATCGAGCAAACCAAGCTCAAAGTAGATGTGCTACTCAGTTCGATATCTCGTATGACCATAACTAACTCTAATACTATATTAGAATTTGAGATTCAATACCAAAACATCAAATCTGACAGGAGAGTTCTGCCAAAAAGAACCCTATATGTTGGCTTGTGATTAGCAGATTAAAACGGTGTTATAGTAGTCATATTTCCAGTGGAATCAAAACAGAAATTAGTATATACCTGACCAAAGTGCCACAGCATGTCAGTCAGAGCATTATAGAAGGCAGAAGCAGTTGAGGAGTCCATCTGTTTTACCTCATCAAAAAGAGACAGAGCTTTAATCCATACATCTTCACAATGCCCCATCAGTAGTCCATGTGCCACTCCATAAACATGGTTATCAAAAACACGCAGCTCCTCCAACAACAATGATGCTTCTTCATATGAACTACAATGGCTGCACAAAAGAAAATCGTATCTGTAATTTCCCAGAGCAGGGAATGCACAAATAATGACAAAGTAACATAAATAGGACTACAACATAACACATTTTTTCAGAAGACATCATTAGTTTCATCTCCTGAAAATAGAACTCATTCACTCCTATGAAAAAATATCAACTGCTCCGTATTAATTTTCTAGGACTGAACGAGACTTATTTTTGGAGAATACAAGAATAGTCCTTAACTCCGCCGTGAGATCATTGTTGGTATCATGCATGTCCCAAACCAAGATAAAGGAGGAGGATGTTGTGGTAGGCGTGTGATGGCCAATAGTATCACTTGGTCACATCACAAGACATGAATCGAAATATGAATATTACTACAAGAAATCAAGAATAGTCCTATTTAAACCCATAACTCATGTTTTACTCTTATTTGCAATAGTTCCTTCAATAATAATACCTGCAAGCGTTCAAGATTGCTGAAAAGGTGACAACATTCGGTTTTATGTCTAATTCGTGCATCTTACGGAATATACCCAACACACAAAATAAGTCCTGTCTGTAGGAGTTGCTACTCCTTACTTTGAGCGCTTTCTTATTAGCTAACTGCTTGAATATCCTTTCAATACAGTCTTCCTCATCATCTTCCTCGCTCCTTGTCTTATCTTCTTCACAAACTGTGAATTCAACCCTGGTCAATGAACACTCGATGCTTGACCCCAAACCGAAAGCATTGATTATAGAATTATACGTCACAACGTTTGGTAATATCCCCTCTTTCATCATCTCATCAATCAACAACGACGCAGACTCCACAAAACCTCTCTTACACAGCGCGTCAATAAGTTTACTATAGAGAACAACATCCGGTTTCAACTTTCTTTGCTTGAAATCCTTATAAAGTTCTGTCGCCTCTTGATATAAACCTTCTTTGAAATACATGCTAATCAAAATCGAGAATGTGAGAATGTTTGGCGAAAGGTTTTCTTCCTTCATTTTGGCAAAGAACTCCTTGACCTTATCAAACATCCCTTGTTTGCCAAACCCATCCAGAAGGGCATTGTAAGTGACGACATCTTTTCTTATACCCATTCCCTCCATCTCTGTACTCACATCTAATGCACATTCGAACCGACCTAGGCTTGCGTATATAGCAAGTAAAGTGTTATAAGACACTCTGTCTGCCTTTATACCTTTGTTCTTCATCTCTTTAAATAAACTCAATGCTCTATCGAATTTCCCCACCTTGGCACACCCGCGGATCATGGTACTGTAAGTAACCTCATTTGGGAAGATGCTCTTCGAAGGCATCTCGGACATGATTTCAAGAGCCACTTCAACTTGTCCTACATTGCAAGCAGCGTCCAAGAGCGTATTGTATGTGTAAATGTCTCGTTCAATTCCTCTATAAACCATCTCACCAAACAAGCCCCTAGCGGTTTCCCACAATCCTGCCCCACTGCAAACAGCAAGGAGTGAGTTATAGGTTATCCTATCAGGCTGAACACCATTTTTTAACATTTCATCGAAAATCTCCAAAGCCCTTTTGAAATCGGCCCCTCCTTTACCACAGGCATCGATTAATGTGTTGTAAGTTACTAAATTAGGTCTCAAGCCCGAGTCTTTCATCAACCCGAATACCCTAATGGCCTCATCGCAGTACCCGCTCTTGGCGTAAGAACTGATTAGAGCGGAATAAGCATAGACAGTATTGCCATACCCCTCTTTCAGGCCATTCTCAAACACTTTCTCAGCTAAATCGACTTTCCCAAATCTTCCAAGAATACTAATCATCGAGCTGGCTAACTTACCTTGATCGTTGCGCTTTCTTTCGCGGCGAAGAGCAAAATCGAAGCATCTCATAGCCATGGAGCACTGGCCGCGGTTTCCCAGCTCTCGGAGCAGGAATGTGTAATCTTCGGTGCCGGCCAGCTTGGGCTCGAATGCCAGTAACAGTCTGTCGAAAGCACATTCATCGCCGTCACACCGAAGCGCCTCCTCCAGAGCTTCATCGGCGACGGCGGTGTGGCGGCTGGCAGAGCCAGTAGCTCTGGGTCGACCGAAGTGCATTTTGGAGACGAAACGGGTGGAGCGGCGGCCGGAGAAATCGGCGTTTAGCTCCTGTGAAGAGAAGGAGGGGAAAGGGGCGGCGGTGGCGGGTGCAGCAGAGGCGCTGGCGTGTCTTGGATGGGGAGGGCGACTCAAAGAGACTTTGTGAGAGGTGGTCCATTGGTGGTGCTGGCGGTGGTTGGCGTGGCGGCGATTGGGTTGGAGGTGATGGTTGTTTTGATAGGGTTTAGAGGTGGTGAGAGTACAGTGGGGTGGGGGAGTTGAAGAGGCCATTGGGGAGCAATAAAGTGGGGGACTTGTTTTTAGGAAGAAGATAAAGAAGGAAAGGTTGAGGAAGTTTGCATCTCTCTCCGCAGCAGTCTACTGGAGTACTGGATTGGTTAGCTCAACAGTAGTTTTACCTGAAGAGCAGCACTCCTACCAATCAGATTGCGTAGCCACAATCTAAGAAAGATCTACAAAAAAAACATTGGTAACACTAATCTTCCATCTTGGCATCTTACCATGATTTTATAAATTTTATGCAAATATTTATTCTGTCAATCACAATATTTTGTGAAAAAATAAAATTATCAAAAACATAGATGACTATTGAAATAAGGAGAGATATTCTGCTTATTAATTTTAATTTTATGTATTTATCTTCTCATGTCACGTGTGTGTACTGTTCATGTTTTTGCAATGAAAGTGCTCTAAGGATTTAACAAGGAAAATAAGTGTTTAGACTTCATGTGATTGACCGGAATTTGGAATGGGCTAAATATGTTGATGCTCATGAAATTTTGGGAAGCACTTGAATGTGCTAATATTAATAAAATTCTAGTTGAAGCGTCTGTATTGGTTAAATGTATTGAATTCTAAAAAATATTAATAAAAATAAACAAGAAATTATATGAAATATGAAGAATAGCTGAAATGGTCATCTAGAGTGACTCCAGTCAATTCAACTATAAAAATAATTGCAATCTTACTTATTTTGATTATAATTCAATAGATGAATTCAAATGTTAATTGTTAAAAGGTTAGCCAATATGGCAAATAAGTTGAAAGTAGCTTTTACCAAACGGACTCTTATAATGTTTTTACTTAGACTTATTTTAGTTTCAGACTAGATTAGATCAAACTTCAACAGACCACACCATGCCAGACAAACCCTATCAGACCAAACCAAACTTGTGCATGTGTAAAATACATAGAGATTAGTCATCTACAGACCAGACTGAACATAAACAGGCCGGACTAGAAAATTGAAGTAAAATCATCCTTTATACTCCGTATACAAGGTATGCAAATTATCATTGTAATTAAAACCAGTGTATTATCCGTGTATACGCATCGGGAAGATAAATTTGCATATATAATTGTAATTAGTTTTTGTTTTTTAAAATATATAAAGTCAAATAATTTTTTATACAATATTAATATCCCAACACATGTGTTGCACGAGGTAAATTAACTAGTACAAGTATGTTAGAACACTCGTATCGTACGGTCAAATGCATATCTAGATTTTTTTAAAAGTTTCAAAATCCCTTTTATATTTGGGGCGAATAGGTGTATCAACTTTTGAGTAACATAACATAAATTTCCTAACTTTGTTCATGTCCGTGTGAAAGAGCAGACTTGAAAAGGAGGTTCATGCATATTAATCCCATCTATGAAGGCATCAGGCATGAAGCTAGTAAACTCTTGTATTGTTCTCAAAGCATGGGTTTGACCAGCTTTTTAGTTTATAGTATCATATTGGTTCGTGAAAGTTCTCAACCATAGACATTACTACATTAGCTCATTCCACATATAAGAGTTTTGTCCCCCTAGTGAATGTTTTCCATGTAGTGGGGGTAAGATGAAAGTTAACTAGAATGTTAATTTCATCATGGACAAATTTATGCCCTTAATTAATGTACACATATCTTACATCTTAAAGAGGGAGCTGTCATATGTTCAAATTATCCATATTTTACTATGACAATACACGATTAGAATACTCAATTATTGTATGAGATATAAAAAGTATTTTACATGTGTCCAGCGTTGCACTAAATAAGATTATAGTGTACTCTACAATAGTACCTAATAAACCACACCTATCCATGATAAGAATTTCATGAAAGATGATGATGAGTTGAATGGGCAGTATATATACCAAGGGTACCCAATGAGTATAATCTTTCTTGTGTGTTTTTCTCTCTACCTAGACTGGTAGACAAATGCCTCCTTATGTCTTTCATTGTTATCCACTTTTGCAATTAAGGAAGCACCCAAACCTTTTCATTCCCCCAATAGAATATTTCTCGAATCCTTTGGTTAATCGGCACTTGATACATAATGTGGATGTTTTGCAGCTAGCTATAAGATTTGTGTTTGTGCACTTTCCCCCTTGGTCTTCATCATGTTATATGAGCCTTAGCTTTCTAGTTCTGCGGACATAGTGACCCTTCCCTTACCCTTCAATATGTGATTTTGACTTTTGAGGATATTAGATGAGAGGGGCGGGGGGCAGGGGGGAGGCGGGGGTTAACAACTGACTTTACTTCTCCATTTTTGGCAATCTTGATGCATTTAAGATGTGTTTTGTAGCTCACACTCATCACTTTTTCTTAAAATTGTTTAGCAATCTAAATTATTTTCATCTAATTTTTTATGCTATCTTATTTTGAGGCTTGGCTTGCACGTTTTGAGTTTCAACAACTCTCTAATCTGATGCTTCTATTTGATGGTGGTTCTCTATGGTAGTATGAATAAAATGATTTCATTGCTCGCTTTATGAAGTGTTTTGACTAGTATCAATTATGATGTACTATGTTTGACTTTCGTAAATATATTTGATTATAATTGGCTATGTTTGATCATGTTTTACTATATTTATTCACTTTGACTATATTTGACCTTATTTTGCCATTTTTGACCTTGTTTCGCCATATTTGCTTGTATTTGGCCATTTTGACTATGTCTGACCATATTTGACTTAATTTGACTTTGCTGAGTATATTATTTATCCTTTTGAAATTTAGATTGCCTTAATATTCTATGGCACATACGAAATGTGACGAAACCTAACCATTTTTATAAATAGAAATAATAATGATTTATATAAAAGCATGCTCTAAGTTTGGTACATAGATTTTGAGAGCCACGTATACAGACTATGATAAAACATAGGTACCAGAATTTGTTTGTATCTCCTACTCTTAGACATAGTGCTAACTGCCACATTAATTGAGCCACCCTGTTCTATTTAGTACAAAGTACTTCGGTATTAGTACTCCTGAAATTATGTTTTTAGTATGACATGCTTTAGCATTAGTATTTCTGATTTTCTTTTTCCAGTATGAAATGCTTCAACATGAGTATTTCTGCCATTGTCCAAAAACGTTGAATCCCCGAAACTAAGGGCCACGGGCCAAGCCCCAACCCGACAGAGCATATGATGAGTATTTATGTCAAATTTTATTTTTCGGGAGTCGTGTAGCTTTGGCGACTAGGATCCCCTTTTGTACATGCTAGCATTTATTTTAGACCGTGATCAACCTCTATTTTCATATGGGCACGTGTAGTTCTGAAGATTATGTATCCCTTAATGCATTTTGAGTCTTGGTTCATTCTCGTGAACAATGACTTATGAATACATTAAATAAATTAAACATAAGCTGATACGTTATGAAATACATTTGTTATCAATAATGTTCTGACACGTTCGGTTTTGTTACACTTAGTTATGAATTGACATGCCCTCTGTTCAAAAATCGTTCTAGGCGCTCGACTAGTCCCCGCCTAGGCGCTAGGCGGTGGTCGGGCGTCCTGATTTTCATCTAGGCACTCCGACTAATTGGTTTGCCATCTAGGTGAATTAGTCGACAGCCTATGGCGCCTAGTTGCCCACCTAGAGCGCTCAATCGGCCGCCTAGGCCGTCTAGATTCGCTGAACATTACTTTACATTTTAATTTTAATTTTCTAAGCGATATACGTATTTTAACTTTAGCCATGGATATAAAGAAATAAAGTTGTAAATTAAGATAAAACTATATATGTTTGTATATATACCTAAATTTTAGCACTATTTATATGTATACCATAATGAAGTTAAGTGATTAGTTATCATATGCTACATATGATTAAATGTGAGAATTCTATCTTTCATGTTTGTTAATGTATATGTATATAAGTATTTTATACACATAAAAATACAATATTACTTATCATAATTATGCAATTCCTATATCTCTAACTAGGCGCCCGCCTAGACGTTAGGCGCTGGACTCACGCTCGACTAGCGCCTAACGCCTTTTACAACATTGGGCATTCCTTATTCAATAATGTTTTGTTAAGTTCGGCTATGCCATTTTTCTTTATTTTTTCCGTTAGTGGGGTTCTCGTATACAAAGATTATCACATCTTGAATTATATGAACTGTGATTATAGAATTGTGCAAGTAATTGCATGAAATGTTTCTCCAATTATGCTTATGTGATATTATCTCTTAGCTTATACGATAGTATTTGATTTATGTGAAATAAAATGTCCATACCACATACTTTTGAATTATATGGACTATGATAATATAATTGTATAAGTAATTGCACTGCTCAGGTCCAGCCGGAGGGACGGAAGTCCCCGTCCGAACTTTGTCGTTTGGGGCACTTTCTGATGGAATTTTTTGATGAATTTTTTTGAGCATGTACCTTATCAAGTCTAGTTTGTCCATACCAAATTTCAGCTCAAAATTCGATCGGGAAGGCATTCAAATTAGTTTTTGAAGTTGGCTGCGCCAAAATATACATATAAAAAACGCAGTCAACTTCAAAAAATGATTTGAATGCCTTCCCGATCGAATTTTGAGCTGAAATTTGGTATGGACAAACTAGACTTGATGAAGAACATGCTCAAAAAATTTCATCAAAAAATTCCACCGGAAACCGCTCCAAATGGCGGAGTTCGGACGGCGGCTGGACAGGAGAGGGTGGGACCTGAGCATTTCTGCATGTTAGTATATCTGTATATGATTTGCGTACCATTTATTTTTTGTTGAATGGGTAGCTTGCCCGTTTTACTTAATGCTACATGTATGTATTGCGGTGCTATGAGATTTTGGGCGGACTATCTAGAGACAATAAAAAATCTTGCCTACAACCTCACACTCCATTATGTTACTTCCCATATCGTGTAGATAGGTTCTTATACGGATTACGATTTGTGACTGACCATAAAGTAAATCGATCGTTGTCTACATTAGGTTTTTTTAGTGAATATATTTTGCAAATTTAGAAATTACATTAAACATTTTAATGAAGTCTAAAAACTCAAATTTGATAAAAGTTATACTAGTATATATAAAGTAAAAGTTATACAAGAGATAGTACGGAGTATTAAATAATTATTTTGACACTGAATTTTATTTGGCAGTCTTGTGGTCCATGTATGATTTACTCATTTGGATATTATTTGATGCTAACCCTATATGTTAAAATTATATTAATCTCATTCTATCTCTAAAACTCGATAATGTCCTAACCAAATCTTCCGTGTCGGATCGGGTGGGTGTTATAAGGGTGACATCATTGTCGCTATATAATAATATAATCAATAGTTATTAATATAGTCACTATAAATAAGAGATCACATTTGTGTCCATCATTTTTATTTTAATAATATTTATGTCATTATTTCTATAAATTTTTTTTACTCCAGGGAGCGTCAGGGGGAAGGGGGTTTTGGAATTCAAGGCAGTCAGTAATTTGATGATACCCAAATCAAGTTTTAACTTAAGTTTATAAAGTTTCAACTTCAGTGATTATACCCAACGTTTCACCAAATACGTAACTTTTGAGTTTCACCGAATTGATTATAATTATTATAGATGATCAATTTAGCTATTTTTGTCATATTTTTTTATTAATAAAATATAATTATATAATTTGCAAAAAAAATATAATTATATAATTAAACATCAGAATCAACCGATATAATCACTGAAGTTGAAACTTTATAAACTTAAGTTAAAACTTGATTTGGGTATCATCAAATTACTGACTGCCTTGAATTAGAGATGAATATATGAAGAAAAGGGGTTTTTTACGCCTGTGGTAAACTGAGATCAATCTCACTCCATTGAGAATTGAACTCGGGACCTCCCATAGGGGATAGTGAGTCGGCGACCAGCTGAGCTGGACCGCTTCCTCTACTATTTAGTACTCCATCCATTCCACAATAAGTTTTACTGTTCATTTATGATATTTGACTGAGCATAAAGTTAATTGATCTATGTCAATATTATTATTATTATTATTATTATTAGTAAATAAAATTTCGAAGTTTTACAAATTCATAAAAAATCAAATTTAATAAAAATTAAATATATAAAGAAAAAAATCAAGAATAATTTAAGAGCCTGTTTGATGATATTGTTTTTTAGCTTATCACCCAACGTTTCACCAAATACGTAACTTTTGAGTTTCACCGAATTGATTATAATTATTATAGATGATCAATTTAGCTATTTTTGTCATATTTTTTTATTAATAAAATATAATTATATAATTTGCAAAAAAAATATAATTATATAATTAAACATCAGAATCAACCGATATAATCACTGAAGTTGAAACTTTATAAACTTAAGTTAAAACTTGATTTGGGTATCATCAAATTACTGACTGCCTTGAATTAGAGATGAATATATGAAGAAAAGGGGATGAAGGTAATGGATTGACTTGAATTAGAAATGAGACGTTTAAGGGATTAGATTTGCTGATAAATTAGAGTCGCCGCATTTTCTCTTGTCCCCTCATTTGGTAACGGCCTGAGCATGCTCCAATTCAGCCACCCATTGCCCCACGATTGACCGGAGATTGACTGACTATACATTCCAAAACGTTAGAAACAATCACTCCTTTCCCTCTCATCTTACCTCCTCCAGCCCTTCCATGGAGATCTTCAGCAAAGAGGCCAGAAAACAACACAATAATCTCATAATCTAAGCCTAGCCTGGAGAGGAGAAGGAGGGGTGCGCGGGAGAGAAGGCTTCTCTTTCTGTTCTTTCTTCTTCCACCTTTCTATGTTCATTGGCGTACAGGCCATTTGCATTCCCTTCCTGTACGCCATTAATTGATTCTCACCTTCCAACCATGCCGAAGGCTCTTGCGCTTTCCTTGTGCTCCCACCTTGCTTTTGCATGCCTCTTTTCCCTCTTCCATTCCCTTTGCGCGGCCAATAACGGCCCCAAACCGCTGCTTTTGGCCTGCGGCGGAGCCGCCGGCGTCGACGACGAGGGCCGGAAATGGGAACCGGACGAGAAGTATTTGGGATCCGAGAAAGGAGTTGCGGCCAAAGCGGATGTCCAGGACCCCTCGCTTCCTTCCCTGGTTCCGTACATGTCCGCTAGAATCTTCAAATCAGAGGCGTCGTACAAATTCCCCACCGACGCGGCGGCGCAGGCTAATCGCATTCTGGTTCGCCTCTATTTCTACCCGTCTTCGTATCCCGGTTTCGACATTTCCAAATCCTTCTTCTCTGTATCCGCCGGGGGCGTCACTCTGTTGAAGAATTTCAGCGCGTTTCAGACCGCCGAGGCCCTGACGCAGGCGTACATCGTCAAGGAGTATTTCCTGACCACCGCCCCCACCGTGGAGCTCAAATTCAAGCCGTCGGATGGTGATGGTTCATTTGCTTTCGTCAATGCTATAGAAGTCATTCAAACGCCGGACATTTTTGGTTTAGGCTCGATTTACATGGCTGGATTTCCGGACCAAACCCTAACGGTGGAGGACAAGCAAATGGAGATGATGTACAGGTTGAACGTTGGGGGCCAATACATTCTTCCCGCCAACGACTCCGGCGGGCTGATGCGTAGCTGGTTCGAGGATTCCCCCTTCGTTTTTGGAGGTACCGCCGGAGTGACCGTAGAAGGTAACAAAACGGCAGAGTACGGTGATACGCCGACGTATGTGGCCCCGATCGACATTTACAAATCGTACAGATCTATGGGTCCAGACGCGAATCTGAACGAGAAGTATAACCTAACCTGGGTATTTCGGGTGGACGTCAATTTCTCGTATCTTCTGCGGTTCCATTGGTGCGAAACCATGGAAAACGTGACCAAGGTAAACCAGATCGTCTTCAATGTGTACGTGAACAACCGGACGGCGGAGGAGAACATCGATGTGGTGGCTCTAGGATCGGAACGACTTGGGATCCCTGTGGTGCGGGATTACCTAGTGACCGTCAAAGATGGCGGCGGAGATGACCAAATGTGGGTCGCTCTCCACCCCTCCTCCACCGCACAGTCCAACTATATCGACGCCTTCGTCAACGGGATCGAGATTTTCAAACTCTCAAACTCTGAGAAGAGTCTGGCTGCTCCCAATCCTTCAATGTCAGACATGAAGAAGAAGTATGAATTAGAAGGGGAAAGGGAGGCGCACTTCGAAGAGGGTAAGCCGTTGATCAGCAATCCCGCTGTCATCGGCGGAGCAACCGGGGGAGCAGCGGCGTTTGGGCTCGCAGCCGTCTTGTTCCTGGTCGCGTACAACAGGAAGAAGAGAGTAGCTGGAGATACAAGCAGCTGGCTCCCGATCTACGGGAACTCTCACACATCATCCAGAAGCAAATCAGGTTCTGGGAGTCAAAGCTGCGCCACCATCTCCACCGACGCAGCAGCCAACTGTCGCTACTTCTCGCTGGCAGAAATCAAACAGGCGACCAAGAATTTCGACGAGTCGAACGTGATTGGGGTGGGTGGGTTCGGGAAAGTGTACAAAGGGGTGATAGATGGGGACATGAAGGTGGCAATAAAGAGGTCGAACCCATCATCGGAGCAAGGGGTGAATGAATTCCAAACAGAAATCGAAATGTTGTCGAAGCTCCGGCACCGGCATCTGGTGTCCCTCATCGGATTCTGCGAAGAAGACAATGAAATGGCTTTGGTTTATGACTACATGGGGCGGGGGACTTTAAGAGAGCATCTGTACAACAAAGGCAGCAATAAGACGACTGGTCTGTCTTGGAAGCAACGGCTGGAGTTGTGCATCGGCGCTGCTAGGGGGCTTCACTACCTTCATACCGGAGCTAAATACACCATCATTCACAGGTAAGTGTGTATATATTGACTAAATTAAGTTCTTTATCACATAATATTCATCTTTGGACTGAGCCCCTTTTGTTAAGGCTTTGTTTGGTTACAATGGCAGAGTTTGATAACATTCACTCCAAACCAGATATCATCTCATTTAAATTCTACGGAGTAAATTAAAACACTAGTCTGATACTGCAAACCTAGTGTGAATGTTTCTATTTCGAGTAAAGTTTCTATGTATATTTTGTTTGATACATTCTTACATGACACATATTTATTGGGTGGTGATAAGTTATCTTAAGTCTCATGGTTTGATAGACATGTAGAAGTATAAATAAACAACAAGCGTGTATAAAATATATAAAAGTTGAACTATTCTTCTACTCTGCATTTTTGTTCCATTTCCTTGTGTTAAATACGGAGTATAAAACTTGGTATGACAAAAAAAGACATCCTTGCTTGGTCTAATATGATTCTTTTTCAATAAAACATTAATAATAGATATAGAATGATAAACAAAATATTAGGTTGAACATAATGTCGTCTTATTTATTAAAAAGTAGTAGATTAAACATAATAAGACGCTCTCATGAGGTTTGCATAAGCCTTATTGTATAAATTTCATGTTTCCTTGTTTTGATTGTCTTAGATTACATTTTAGAGTGTGCTTGGAAATTTAAGGGAATGCGATGTTAATATTTTTCTTCACTTTTCAAATAAATTGCATCAACATAACAATTTTAATTTGTTTGTAAGCTGTTAAATGTAATTGACTATGAAGTGTACCTCTGAAACATACTCCGTATTTAATACGGAGCATTTAGCTATTTATTTTCCTAATCATACTAGCTATTTATTTTCCTAATCATACTAGCTATTCCATGTTGTGTGTTTATGAAATCATGTCGTTCAAGTACATGGATATACTCAATTTTTTTCCCCATATAGACTGATTTCATTCTCATTTCAGACCAAACTTAGAACATATTGGACAACCCAAGATTTAGATATTAACGAAATACACATAATATTAGATCTTATCAGACTAAATCGGGCTTCTATAATAAGTTCGACCAGATTAGAAAATGACGGTGTAGTTAGAACTTAGAAGCATCCTCAATGAAGTATTTACCATTAATTAGTCAATAAAATTGCTCAGTCGTTAATACGATTTTGATGTAAAATAGGGATGTCAAGACAACAAACATTCTTCTGGATGAGAAATGGGTGGCAAAAGTTTCAGATTTTGGATTATCAAAAACCGGCCCAGATATGAACAAAGGCCATGTGAGTACAGTGGTGAAGGGCAGCTTCGGGTACCTCGATCCTGAATACTTTAGAAGACAGCAGTTGACAGAGAAATCAGATGTGTACTCATTCGGGGTCGTTCTGTTTGAAGTGCTGTGTTCCAGGCCGGCTCTAAACCCAAGCCTTCCTAAAGAGCAAGTCAGTCTCGCCGACTGGGCAATGAGTTGCTACAGAAAAGGGACGATCGAAGACATCGTTGATCCTCATATTAAAGCAGAGATCAAACCGGAAAGTCTGAAGAAATTCATTGAGACAGCGGTCAAATGTTTAGCTGATCATGGCACAGATAGGCCTTCCATGGGAGACGTTTTGTGGAACTTAGAATTTGCACTTCAACAACAACAAGACAACCAAACAGCAGACACAGCTAAGCGAACGAATTCAAAATCATCTCGAAGCGTAGATTGCGACAATGAGGTGGAGGAGGAGGAAGGAGAAGTGATGGATCATAATAGTCTCTTGGCTATGCATAGAAGTGTATTGAGTCTTGGGAGTGAGGATGGGTTTGACGAGAATGGTGTGTTTTCCCAAATTGTCAACCCTTCAGGGAGGTAATGTAATGCACGTGGCCGTACATTTTTTTAATTATTGTTGAAATAAATAAAAATGTATACATATATACACATTGGTGATGTACATTGTTAGGTTAATTTAACTAAACTAACTCATATTATGATGCAAATATTGATCTTGTAAGTACTATTTAGTTGGTGTTGTCCTTATCACACATTCATTTCATTTGTACTTCCAATAGCCCATGGCTGATGTATCCATTAAGTACAGTGTTTGGGGTATTGATTGACCAGATTAGGTTAGACATGCATTCGATCCAGTTGTGATTGCCCTTGTTAGTGAATGTTAATGCATGTGTGTTTGTGTATAACGTGTTTGTTAATGCATGTGTCTGTATGTATTCTGTCTCAGGTGAAAACTGAATAATGAGAGATAAAAATGGAGTGTAGTCATTGATACAATTCATCTATTTTTTAATATGTGAAATTGCCTATATTGAAATTAATAAATCAAAGATCATTAGAATAGACTCGATTTAATATCAACTAGGGGTGAGAAAAATCGAACCGAAACCCGGAACCCAACCCTGACCCGGCCTGAATGATGTTTATGGTCTGGATTTTTTCTATTTAATCGACCCGAAAAAAACGGACCAAACCCGAAACTTCGGGCTCATAAACGGACCTTAAAATCTATAACCCGACCTGGACCAATAAATACCCGAAACAATTAGCTTTAATATAAAATGAATATAATATATGAATATAACTTATAAATAATTTTGAATATATGACTCTAATCATGGTAGATGAAAATTTGACTTAGTAACTTTTAGTGACTACAAATATTTTCAATTTGTTTAGCATAATGATCATGAAAGTATATTTATAGTAAATTTAGTCACATTTTTATCCATAAGTTTTATTTCGTAATATTTTTAGAAAACTTATATTATATATTTATATGCGTCTTGAACACAATATTAAGATAATTGTCTTCTTTGGATTTGAATTGTTGGTAATTTTGGAAACTAATACGGAGTATTTGTGTTATTATTTGTTACTATAAATTGTTGATAATTATCTTCTTTGGATTTAAATATATTTATACTTCATATTTAAGAATGTTACTATAATTTATAAGATGTTGCAAAAAATAGTTAATGGTAGCTTTGTTTATTTTATGCATCGCAATTCACATTATAGTATCAAATGAAGCATTCCACAAACTACATGTTACACATGAGTTTCTTATAAGTACAAATTGGTCAACAAAATTTCTGTATATATTACTATAAAGTTAATAACTAATGCATAATAAATTATAAAAAAAATGCACTCATATTATGAAATAATGCTTTTAATTTTTATATATAGTAGTTCAATTTTACACATGCATTCTACATTTCAAAATGAAAAATAAAGGCTTTTTAATTTTATTAATAGTATATATAATTTGTTCATTTATTACTCGACTATTGATCGATAATTTCTACATATGAGAATATACACAAATTACAAGTGTAGTGCTAATGGTCTCAAATGGGAATTTAACATAATGTAAATGTGTACTAGTTTGTTTTGGTTGTTTTAGAACGAGACATAAAATAAGAATTTTAGGGATTCAACAATTATTATAAAGAAGGGATCCCGGATTGTTTTGTGATTTTATTATCACAATCGTTGGAATAATTTAAACCCGTTCGTGCTTATATTTGAACTATACATAATAAAGTCTCCCTTATCCATCCTCATGGCACAAGGCACTTGTTCTAACATGGCTCGCGGGTCTACACTAATGTTGATGTTTTGACCGATGTACTACTACATACCCTTAGTTTTAAAATAGTTTTGAGTGTTCCGGTGTTTCAAACCATGAGTTGACATTACAAGTTTGAACTCCGATTATGTCATTGCAGAATATAAATCATTCAATGAGGCTTCCCTATGGAATAAGATTAGTTATCATAAGACTTGAACACGGTGTTTGGAAGCTAGACTACTTTTCTGACATATTGCAGGACAAAAAAACGGCGATTTCAAGATTAAATTTAACTCCTATAGATGTGAGAATGTCAATTAAGTTTCAAATGATACAATTCCCTTTAGTGTTTTCATATGCAATGACGATTTCAGGATTAATTTTGACTCTTCATATGCAATGTCTATTTTAAGATTAAATTTGACTCATCTAGATGTGAGAATGTCAATTAAGTTGCAAATGATGCAATTCCAATATTCCATCATGTTGAGCTATTTTCAAGTAACTCTTGTTTTTTCCATTGTCAACTATAAGCTATTGTTTCATTAATCTTTAATCACCACGCGCCATGAATTGAAATCATGTTATGTAGTAGCGACGGGACTCCAAGCACAACTCCAAGTTGTACATGCATCTATCTGTCATAGGGCTTGATAGGATCCATTAAGCTTTTTGAATTTTCATGAAATTTTGTGAGTATATTCTTCATGAAGTGTAAATTATGTCCATTAAGCTTTTTGAATTTTAAATTGATATTTGATAAACATAATCTTATAAAAAACATTATTAATTTTATGAAATGAGGCGTGAAACAGCGATAGGATTGTTGGTCGTTGTATATGTTCGAAGAAAGCAATGTTCATACTCCGTAACTTTTTGTACTACAAGTGTACAGATGTAGTACAGCATAGATCAGGATACTAGAGATGCCCAACATGGCTTTCATAAAAGTATAATATTGTACTTTTTGTATGTGAATTAAATACTCAAATGCATCCAAAATTCCAAGTGCCCACCAAGTCAATGTTCTTCTTCTCCGACCAAACACAAAGTCAATGCATCCATCACTCGTAGTTCTATCGTTCTTGATCACAGCTCGCATCGGCCAAGTGACCTCGCACCATGAGTCTGGCCCGTGGACCTGTGATTCTAACCCGGATATCCGAGTCCAGGCCGAGTTCAGACCAGGGGTAGTCACCCTCGACGGCCATGTCGATGATTGGAAGGACGTTAATGGGACTGAGTTTTCCCTTTTGCCTGCGTTGGATCCCGATGCTGATAAGGAGTATAGTGGCGGCAAGATGATCATCAAGGTACATCCACTACCCCATTTCCAGGAATAAGTTGAAGCATTTAAAGATTACTTTTTTAATTTGTTTATACTTTCAAGAACTCGATTCTTCTTTTTTTTTTTTCTTTCTGTAATTGCATAGGAGTGTGGGTTTTTTGCAGGCATTGCACGATGGGAAAGATGCATTCTTTTTGCTGCAGGTTGGCGGGAATTTCGCTTATACTGCCGGGTATGAATCATAAGCAGCAAGTTAGAACAAAGTTAGCCCTGAGGGTTTTTAGGTATGACTAATGATTGGGAAATGGACTCTGAATTCTGAACAGCTCTGTGTTTGTTTCTGCAGAGACAATTCGAAATGCCCTTCTGTAGCTCTCATGTTCCCAATTGGGGGAAATGCAACTTATCATGATGTGAGTGGCCTTTGCTGACTTGACTTGGTTCAGTTTCATTACTTTTTCATCATTAGAAGAATATTGTAATTGAAATGTGTGAGTTATCACTTTAAGATGGGTGGGTGTGAAGAGGAACCGGGTAGTTGCTCGAGCAAGACATGCCATGGCCATGGAGTTGACATAATGCAATTCACAATAGGGGATGCTATTCCTGGGCGGGTTTATGGAGGCAATCCAGTAGATACCAGTGAGGAGAATGGGGGAGACAGGTGATGACAGTTATTTATATCTGTCCCGTAACTCCTTTTTAACCAGTTAAAAGGATGCTTAGCTTATGATTACCACTACTATACAGGCTTGGTCAATTGGTTGATCTTTATGCCTGGAATCCTCATTGTAGGAACTTCGATGGTGTTGGTCCTTCAGGTATGCCTTCAATATCCCCATTGAAGAACTTCCTATCTCTGCAAAAATTAAGAAACTGGCATGTGCTTGTTATAAGAAATGAAATAATTACATACTCCGTATATAACTAAATTTATGACAATGGACAAAAATATGACCTTTTATACAAAGTGAACATATTAGTACCTTTTAGTTACTATAATCATGTTCAATTTTACTAAGCTATACTCACACTAACTCTAGTCACATTTTTTATCCATAACTTTTATTTAGGTAATATTTTTGGAAAAATCTCTGTCCTAGAATTTGATAGATCAGATGTCACACAATGCAATTAATGCAATATAATTGAAGACTATTTGTTTAAAACCAAAAGCACAATCTGGACCAAAGTGACTAATTACGCACAATTTAGGGACAAAAAATGCAATTATTTCAATTATGTATGTATGTATGTATGTAATTGTTTTTTGGACCTGCATTTAGCTGCGGTGTATTAGCATATTTGGTGCATTGGAATCTGCACTCAGATTAATTTATGTTGCTTCTGATTTTGGTTGCTGCTTCTTGCTATTTGGATTTGAACCAGCAAACGGTTCTAGTGCGCATGATGATTGGAAAGGGGCATGGTGGCATAGTAGCCTGACCAATCACTCGGGTACTGACTTTTTCTTCCCGTTCTGCTGCTTTTACTTCAAAACTTCTTTTAATGTAAGTATTAGATCACCAGGCTACTATTTTAGCAGTTCTGTATATAAGTTATGGAAGAAATATCAGGGAGATTCATTATTAAGAGTGCCTTGCCACAGCTTTCCATGATGTGTTTTGTTTTTCTTTGTAAATGGGCTCAACTTTTAAATTGAATTCACAACTACTCCGTATTATTTTTATATGAAAAACGAGAAAAACATTTATTGACTAGTTCTTTAAGCAGGTTATAAAAAGGAAGACAGCCCTTATGCATCAAATGCTCATCCAGGGACATATTACTTTGAGTTTTCTAGGCCTTTGACAACAATGGGTCATCTGCAACAGGTAAATGTTGGTTTCATGGTGGTTTGTGCACAGTGCACTTATCTTGGATGTGAAAGACATTAGAATATACTTTAGAATATACTTTAGAATATTCTTCTATCCTTAGAATATACTTTAGAATATTTTAGGAATATACTCTAGGATATTATTATTGTATAGAATCTTATAGGAATATTCTATCTTTGTAATCTATATTTATAGGGACTTAACCCTCCAATGAAATACACAGAAAATCCTTTCCTCTCCAATATTATTTCTTAGTTAATATGCTCTATTTTAACATGGTATCAGAGCCTTTCATTTCAATTTAGTTTTTCAGATTTCAATTTAGTTTTTCACACTCGGTTCTTTCTCAAAGAGCTTGAGTTCAGTTCAGAACCTCTGTGCACCATTCTGTCTACAAGAAACTCAACCCAGTCAGAACCTCTTTACAC